GACTAACTACTACTGTTAGTTTTCAGGGTAGGATAAGTTTTCCATTTTCCATAATATTGTTAAACGATTGTTATACCACCTGTTGGTGATATATTATCTAGATACACGATTCAATCGATTTGTTACTGTAATTTACAATTCTGCGTCGCATTCCATATTTTCTTAATGCAAGGTTCATGCAGCCTCATTATTATCAATTTATTTTAAAAGTCTGCATATTTGAAATAGAACTATATGTAGTATTCATGTTAAGTGCTAAATAAAATATGAAAAATTTACTACCTAATACTAAAAAGAAACATGTTAAATTCTAAACTTCTTCCTTCGGATTTTTGCTATGAATTAAATATTTCTAACGCAGTCGAAACTTTTAAATGATATAGCACAATAATAAAATTAAATTTAGTAATTTTACATTTTTTTTAGAATAGTTCAATGACCAAAGACTATTAGTTATTACGCCTTAGGGATGTCATTTTGACAGCAAAAACATCATGGCGGAGGATGATTGCGCGCGAAACAGATCGTCACGAGCGCATTCCACTCGCGCTGTACGCGTGCCGGAACAAAAACTATGAAAGTAATTCCTTCTGGATATCAAAGTGGAAAATAATGTAAATAACTGACTGACGGTGTTCCATTCTGTATCTTACAGACAAAAGCGAACGTAATTTATCTAAAAGAAGAAACAATTGAAAAATAACACTAAAACATATTTAATGGAACTTAATTCCCTAAATTAAATTGTATTTGTTTGCGTTTCTACTATTTAATTAAGGTCAGTAGGTTTATTTCTTTAAAATAGATAGTTATATAATACGTACATAGATAGATAGTAATATACACAACTATGCCTTTAATTTATTCACGCGAGTCACAATATGCCACTAAAGTTAAACGTTAAAACAGTCTTATGATTATTTTAATCCGTTATTTCATGAATAATTGTTGTGGTAAGTCAATTTTTGATCTAACAATAAAACTATATATTTTCCTAAGCATACATTACTTACATTACTCAGAAAAAAACATGATATATGTCGCGTTATTCCTTTAAATTAAACTGGTTCGAGGGGTGAGGGGTCACTCACGAATCGGTAATTGTCAGAGAATGTCTGGAATTCACAACATTCGTGCTGCAACTTGGTTACAATAGCCAGTGAATTGTGAAATACCGTCAAACTAAAAGGAAGTAAGCGAACGTAAAAGATTCTTAACTTGGTCGGCTAACGTACGAGAATGAGTATTACAATCGTGATGAGAGTTAAAGCTCCAGGCGAATGCATATGCGGAAGTTGATAAAAATGTGAAACAAACGACATATTTACTAGCAATTTTGGAATTTTTGTTTTTGTGAATTGGCTTTTCAATACGTTCCTTGAAATTATATGCTTAATTCCTACTTCAAATAAATAGCTAAATAATTAAAGCTCGTAAACTACACATTCAGACAAAAAAAAATAATACGCCTCTCTTAAGTACCTAGTAGAGAAGCTATAATAAGAAACGAGTCGTTCAATCCTTTCTACATTGATATTTATAAACATTTCAGTATAACTTAAATCCAAACCTGTAATAATACATTAATAATTAAGGAAACAAAGTTCCTGTACTTTCTTACACAAACACTTTCATTTTACATATTAACGCTCGTAAAATTTTATTTGTTTTGTTTACAAGTATTTCTTGTCTCTTCTATCTTTCACGAACTCTTACGGTTAATTAGGAATTGTTATTTAAGTACTTTTTAACTACGTAACATATTTCTATCTTAAATTCTTATTTCAACCTAGCGAGGAAAAAATGCGTGTGATTTGTCTCGGAGCTCACAGTTAATTGTTTTATTCTCGACAGGTAAGAATCGTAATTATCCCAAGGCATACAATAAGAAAATAGACGAAAAAACGTAGACAAAGGTGGCCGACGACTGTGTTTTTTCTCTATTTAAAGTCACGGCCCTAGTCTACCTGCCCGGATTTGGACGTGATTGCTTTTGTCTTTATTTTTGTTTCCAAGGGTCCACTAAAAAAAGTTTTTATACTTACTTATCACTTTATAAGAGCAGTATAAACATAAGATAAGCATACATACCTGTTTTATGAAAGTCTGATTTAAATAATAATTGCATGAAACGACTTAAATAAAACACTATTATTTTTGTATTTTATATACTTAAAGCTTATTATAGCTAGCTAATTGTAATACACAAAAAATTAAAATATTTTAAGCATTACAAATTCTTTAATTAATTCAAAAAAAAAAATACAAACAAATCATTTGATGAATTCCGTTTATTTTTTTAATAAATAATAAAATTAAAGAACAAAAACAATTAACTGAAAACAATACTTAAAAGTATTAATTACTGATTTCCGATAAGTTGCCTACAATCCAATTAGCAACATACCAACTTTTCTCAATTTAATATTTAATAAGCATCTCAGGGCGGGCTGAGTCCAAAATTCAGATGAATGGAAGATCGTTGAGAAAAAATAATTACCCAATACGTCGTTCTCGGTTATCAGGCGTCTTCTTAAACGAAATTTTAATAAAATGAATAAGGCTCGATTACAACGCTCATTTTTCAAGATGGCCGAATCAAGCGACGTCATTACATGCAGAGGAATCCCTACCGATAAACGTCATTAAACTTGTAAGTAGGTATATTTATTATGTAGGTACCAAGTTTGATTTGGAAAAATATGATTTTAATTATGTTGAGTATGTTTTTATCGCGTACATATACGTAGTAGGATACCCACAAATTATTGATATTATACCTAACATCAACATCTACCTGTATCAAATTATCATACCCTTTATAAATGTCTTTTCCGTCCAAAATTTAAAAAAAAACTCAAATTAGCCATTACTTATATTTTTTTATTTCCTTACCAAACTCGACGCTCATATTTATTGTAATATTATCTCAGAGATACTTATAAGATCAAGTACATCACTATAATTCTGGTTTGGTTTGTTTTTAAAACATGTAAATGAACAAAACAATAAACTTACTTTTCACTCAAAAGCTAGAGAATGCGGTTCGTGAGAAAAAAGCATCGCTTCCGATGCGCTCGAGTAGATAGCACAGGTGGCACGGCCGAGTCTAATGTAGAAGGGTTTCGTTAACAAAAATACAACAATAGATCCCTTTGTACCTTCATGTGCGTGACAACACTTGTCTCAGATAAAAAGTCAAGGATTTAATGTTTTAAAGCTAGTAGAAGCATCACAGCTAAATATGTATTTTGGATTTTATCGCTTGAACATGTGTCAACTGTCAATCTCAATTGAGTCAAAAACGATTTACGCGGGAATCACACAATTATATTGTTTTACCTCACAATGTTTCATGTCAGTACTAATCAAAACTAACTAACTTTTAAAATCAAAAGAAAAATTCTCCAATTATTACCAAGAACAAGACCTGGCTGTATGGAATAAAGTCCTTTGCCTTCCATTAGGGATAAAATAATATCATCATCATCATCACAATGTTTCATAGGGTATCGAGTAAAGAGAACTTAATTATCCTTTCGTCATGAATCGAAAGTAGGACTATTACCTAGCTTATGCAAAATTATTGTTACATGTATTATGTATAAAATATTCGTTCGAATGATTGAAAAACCCTTACACTAGTACAAGTACAAAGTGTGTTCTTCAAGTGGAGTTTCTATTTGGAGAAAAATAAAGAATGTGAGTACAAATTAGAATCGCTTTAATCTTTGACGGCTGGAAGGATTGGAATTCGGTAGCGAGTTGACAGTGTTTTTATAGCCTTATTAATAAAGACCCCGTGAAGCCCTTTCACACTTATCGTAGACACAAATCACCTTATTGTGTTTGTTATGCGATACGGAAACTTTCTCGGAAGGGTGTTGTGTGCAGTTACTATAAGTCTATCAACTATACGTGATAGTTTACGCATAAAACTATTTTAATTTCCTGTCACGTCGTTGAAGATCTAAAATATCTTTTCATATAAAGTATATACGACAGTATGTTTAGTTTTTGAAAAACTCCATAATCATTGATATCGACGTTAAATTTGGAAACATAAAATATAAGAAGATTATTAGAAATACCCCATGTATTGCTACAGTGATATATTATAATACTTTACTGCCTATTAAATATCTGTGTCATCCCTAAATTTGCCGTATAAAAATTGACGAGTTGTGTTGTAAATCGACTCCAAATTCAATGCATCTTATTCATATCTCTCTCTTTAATTGGAAGGGACTTTAATAGTCTGGTTGATTTATTGGAATCCAGTTTGCGTCGGAATCGTCGAAAGTAACGTTACATTTATTATTTATCGTTTATAAATATGTTTTATGTGAACAAGCATAATGGCAAAGCTACGTGAAAATATTTATAGTTGAAAGTAAACGGGTATTACTGCATTTCTATTCATTTGAATTTACTATAGTAATTTAAGATAACATTAAGCTTTGGCAACGGATTAAAAAAGCACAAGAGAAACACTTTGCTACGTCTTTCCTTAGTAGACAGTTGGACGACCTTTTGTTGCTTCCATCTCGATGAACGCCGATTCTCAGAGCTCTTCGCTAGTGGCGATTTGGGTATAAAAATAAATCAGTGGCGCTACAACCTCTTTTGGTCTGGGCCTCAGATTTCTGAATCTGTTTCATGATCATTTTTAAATCTAATAAGCAAGCTGATCAGCCCCCAGTGCCTGACACACGCCGTCGACTATTTGGGTCTAAGACTTGTCGGTTTCCTCACGATGTTTTCCTTCACCGTTCGAGCTAATGTTAAATGCGCACATAGAAAGACAGTTCATTGGTGCACAGCCGGGGATCGAACCCACGACTTCACGGATGAGAGTCGCACGCTGAAGCCACTAGACCAACACGGCGATTTGGGTATAAACCCTTATATTTTGTGGGCCTAAAGCAGACGCTGCAAGCTCATTAGTCGGGACTACCGGACTAGACGAACCAATAAGCGCAGTATTTAAGCGCGATACTATGAAAACATACAAAACAAAAACAAACCAATTGTTTCAGGTCGAGCCCAGTGGCTCAGCGTCGCTCGGTGCTGCATCCAGGGCTCTCTTCGTGGAAAAGGTCAGGGCATCGAATGCGGCTTGCCAAGCGGGAGATTTCTCTACAGCTGTGGCTCTATACACTGATGCCTTGACTTTGGACCCTGCCAATCATATACTTTATAGTAATAGGTATGTTTACAAGTTATTTGTTTAAGAAATATTAACGTCTAAATTATATAAATAATTTCATTGTGGTAAACTTTTGACTTATAAATAAGTAAATTATTATAAATTCATTTTAAATGGTAATGCTGGTAATAAGAAATAACGTTTAATAAGATAATAACGCTTAACAGATATTCCTATTTAATTATATTTCATTTTGAATCAGAAAACTTCAATAAATGAAACTTGTTTCTTAGATCAGCAGCTCGACTGAAGCAAGGGCAATTCGCAGCAGCTCTGCAAGATGCAACACGCGCAAGAGAACTATGCCCTAACTGGCCTAAAGCGTACTACAGACAAGGTACGGTACTAAATCACAAACAATATCTTAACTAATAATATGATTAAGTAATCAATCTTTAACAATAGCCGATATTCGCAAAGAAAGTTTCAGAACATACTCTTTGTTGTTTTGGTCTTAGAGTAATATTTAGGCCCTTATTGTCCAGCGTCTATCAACTTTAAATCTAGAGCTGTCAAACCACTTTTCTGTATGAAATTTGACGTATTTGACAGCGCTCAAGACGAGATAGTGTCTTGAGATACGACTTAGAATGTGGACCTATGAGTCGTGACTGCTAAATCCTATATGTTTTACACGTCTGTATATTATTGTTAATTTTTCTTATGGAAAGGGTATTTGAAAATAAATCAGTGTTAAACCAACTACCGTGTGTTTTCACTAAATGGTGACAGCGTGCTTAAAAATATTATTGAAAATCTAAGATTTGACTGTGGCAAAGTAATTGTTTTGATCTTATAGACAGTTGTCTAATTACGTGATCATTAAAACCAAAATTTGTGATAATAATAATGGTTATTAACTTTAATCGGTCAGCCATCTTTTGCTCAAAGTACATGGCTCTGACGATGTTTTCTTTAAATGTACTCATGTATAAAAATCATTCAAAATTAAAGTTTGGCCCCTGTGGCAGAGTGTAATTAGTTTTTCATTTAAAGAGATTTTATCATTTTTTTTAAAACGAAATTCTTTTACTAAACAATATTTATCAGCCCCCTCTAGCTCCTAATATTATGAATTCCTAATCAATAGAATTTAATATTTGCTCAAGCGCTTTAACTTTATTTGTATATTTAGTTTAATATAGCCTGCATTTAAAACATCAATGTACGAATTGCAGTGTAAAGTTATAAAGATTTTAGAGTGGATGGCTACTCAATGCCTTGGGTGGTCATGGTGAAGCCCTGGCCAAGTTCAGTTAAGGACTAAAGTGAATTGGATTCATTATATCGACAGCTGCTCGGTAAGCCATTAACATTTGAGTATCGTTCAAAGTCGCCGCTACGAACACTAATCAACGAACTAACCTTCCGGCAGTGAGAAGCTATGAAACTTGGACCAGTCGCCTTTTGGACTATTTAATAAACTAGATGAGTAAAAAAATTCCTAAATAGACAATACAAAATTAAAAAAAACGAATGCATAGTGTTAATGAGTCAGCAAATTAAATTACATTTTAAGAATCAAAGACTGGTCAAAGGCAATTAAGTCTAAGGTTCAGTTTGCATCCTGAAAAATTAAATAAATAAATGTTGATTAGGATTCTCTAAAAATGTAACTTGAATTTATTATTATTCGTATGTTCTGTAAGTTATGTCCAATTATTTGAATATTTTGTAAGTCACGGTGCGTGAAATGTATTCAAACAGATAATAAGTATTATATAAACATTCCTTATTAAAGGTTTTAAATAAATTCTATTTAAATTTACTGCTCACTGTGAAAATAATTAAGTTCATCACGTAATATAAAAAGCTCCTTAATAAACCTAAATACAGGACATTCGTTAAAATTTAACTTCAACTTTGTCGTATGTAAAGCAGCAAATGAATGATTCAAAAAGGAAAAAGCCTGAACAATTTAAGAAATTCGATAACAAGATATATTATCCATTATCGGTCTTGTCCAACTTATTCAAAGTTACCGAAACGCCATCGTTATTTAAAATGGGTCATGAGTATGCGTTAAAGTTGTATAAAATAATGAGACATGTACGTAGTGTAGCCAAATAATGTTTTTTATAGGTTTAGGTTCACTCTAATGGTAATTTAATAAATACTATAATAACGGATTTCAATACAAATACAGTCAAAATCTGTTATAACGACATCGAAAGGACTACTCATAGTCGTAACAGCCGATGACGTTGTTATTATGAACCTAATACAAAAATAAATAAATAGAATTCAGCTGAGACCTTTAATTTTGGTCAATATAACCGGTATGTTGTTCTAAACGTTGTCGTCATAAACGGTTTTGACTGTATTGTTAATTGTGTTATATTTATCCTCGCGAAGTTCGAACCTAGGACCAGTGTAATGTTAACGAAGCATTTTCTCTCATTAAATACATTTTAATAGTGTATGAAAATAAATAAATATATATTTAACTAGCAGACCGGCCAAGCGTTGCTGTGGCTAAGGTTTTTTTTATATTACATAGTAAACTATTCAAGGGACACGGTAGGAGAACACCAGTCATGGGGACCACCATGCTTTATTGGTGGTTATGCCATTAAATTGTAGCTTATGTGAAACGTTGGTACTTTCAACACAGCGCCCTCTGTTAGAATTGTGACTATCAAATAATAAACAAATATTTTGCAATAAAATAATATTGCGGGTATAAATTGAGATGTAAGCTATCCTATCTTTTAAGTTAGATCAAACTACACACGGTGTGCAAATTTGATTGGTATCGGTTCGGTAGTTTAGGAGTCCATAGCGGACAAACAACGTGACACGTAATTTATATATATTGAAATTTAAACTTCCCATAATAATATAATAAACAAATACCTTCTCACACACATGTTACACAAAATACTGAAGGACCAAAATATCCTAATGGATACCCACCCTACGCCGTCAACGCATCGTATTTAAGTTTATTTAAGGTTAACTGTCTCAGCATGACATCTGATACCCCAAATACGCCCCGGATGATCAAGCCATTGTTTACGAACGGACAATATAAACAGCTGCACTTAATGTCTTAAGAGCCGCCGGTTCACATGATTCTGTCCAAATAATTTAGATGATTTTATAATGAGAATGGTACTTTGTGTAATAGCTGTACATACATGCTGTTTTTGTTTATTCTTACTAAATTTTTCTGTACTTTTTAAGACCTTCTGTCGATCCGAAGTGGTGGAGGCCTGATGACCTCATGTGGACAGTGTTGTACACAGGTACAACACTCTTACCTTTAGCAGGCATCAGACAAACTAGCATTTTCCCTTAATAGAAGAAAGACAATTATTTATTTAGGATAATAGTAATGTAATCTGTAATTATTTATATAGAAAAATGAATAAAGATTATTATTATAATTATTATTTCCATATTTCGGGTCGGGTCGGGTATTTATATGGAAATGGCTTCAGTGTTGATTGATCTATAGCTAGTCTTTACAACAGCTAGCCATCCTGAGATACGGGAAACAATAGGACCCGTTTCGAAAACGCCTACCTATATATACTATTAGTCATAGCTTACGACAGCGGCGTGATAAATTTTACTTTTTTCATGTTACATGTATGTTTTTAATGATTATTTTTCCGACCCAAATATCGACCAATAGAATTGCACCATTCGACGTCACGTGGTACAACCTACATGGTATTATACTGATAATTTTTTGAAAATTTTCTCTGGTAGTTGCTATATATAAAAAACAAAACATGATCCAGTCAAATTAACCACACGTCAAACTGACAGGTTGAATTCAATTGTGAAAATTGGAGATTTTGCATGAAAATGAGTCGATTTGGAGTTTGTTCTCTGTCCACCATCGATAAAAAAGTCAAAGGAAATGTTCCCATTAATACGGAGAAGTCAAAAAAAACAGTTTGGAACCAATTTACTACTTTTTGTACTGAGAGGGAATACACATTGAGTGCTGAAACGAGTGAAGCGCAATTGGCAAACATTATGAAAGATTACGCTTACAATATGAAGAAAATGGATGGAGAAGACTATAAGGAAGGTACAATAAAAATTGAAATTGATATTATAAATATGAAATTCTTATTTGTTAACTGTACATTTCGTCTCATGGTGCAATTCTATTGGCCGACATTTGGGACGGAAAAATAATCCCCCGAATACCACACGAGCTTCAAAATTTCTGGCTTTCCCGATAATTTTAAAGCTCTTTATAAGTGATAATAAACTTCTTTGGATATATTTTCATCTTTAAAAGTAAATATAATTTAAAGTTCATATTGGAAAATAATATTCGAATGGAGTAACCTAACCTAACAAGTCTTGTATGTACTATCAGCAAATGTTGGCTTTTTGCACATATTAAAAGATATATATTCTTTAAAAATAAATAAATTAAATTACAAATATCCCTTTTTGTTCTACGCCAATATTTGATGCTCTTTAAACTGAAATTTTAATGCTTTTTTACCGATTGTTAATCTTTTCATTACTCCGCTTCGGTAATTTAGCAACGGCCAGTGTTTTTATACCCAGTCACTCTGTGTTCGATTTCGGGCGAAATTAAAATTGATTTGAACCATAGATGACATGCATGTCTAATTTTCTAATACAAAATTTTCAATGTTACTTCTTTACTATTTATAAGTTAGTTAATACATTCAAAAATGCTAGGAATTTGTGTCTTTGGTTAACTATTGACTATGCTTATAGTACGCAATCCAAGCATAAATTACGCAATATCTGTAATTCTGCAAATATCATCCATGTTAATTTCTATTAAGAAACACAGTTAACCTTTATCTAAGTAGCTTTATGCAGCCATGTATCGGAAATGACCAAGCAAAGAGATTAGGTCGAGAAACGGACTATGCTTAATGATAGGTAGATTTATACAGCGTCTCGAGTTTTTAGTGCTTAATTCTAATGTTATAATCTAGATCGTATAGGCGACTTACTGCGACCTGTAGTGCTTTTTCTAGAATATCTAGCTGTATACAGTAAGTTTTAATAAACAATATACGGTTTGAAGATATGTAATAAATATTTTTTTACTTCAATGTAAACTCTTTATAACGAATTTCAAGGGCACGAGCATTTTTATTCGTTATAGGGAGGGCAGAATTTATGTATGGGTATTGGTTTAAACCAAATTAATTTAACTATTTTTTTCCGTTATAGAGAGTTCTTCGTTGTAACGAATGTCGTTTTAAAGAGTTTAAGCTGTATATACTTTACCTTTTACGTATCGGCGGCGACCAGTCACTTTCCGCTTGATCACATGGCGTTGCGTACAGATGTTGGGTCTCTCAGCATCTACCGCATTTACCATTTAGCGTGTTTGGAGGAGTTGTTCAGATGAGTTTCATCCTGCGGCTGAGCTGCAGCTGAGTTTCATGATCGGACGTCAAGGCAGAATACGAAATACCAGCCTTATCACCTCGACATACGTCGTTTACAGCTGAACGTTTTTAAGGCAGTTTTTACACCACCACTACGTGGAACCAGCTGCCCACTGAAGTATTTCCGTACCAATTCTTAAAAGGCTGGCAACGCAACGCTTTCTGGCAATGAAAGGGTGATGGTATCACTTAACATCATCAAAAAAAAATTATCTTAAAATCACGATACACACATGGCACCTAATAAATATTTAATTATGATTATCTAAACATATGTATCTACATATTCAGAAACCCTGTATTCCAATATTACTCCAACTGGTTAAAAATTTAGACTTATAAAGATAACATTGGTGTTAAATACAATACTATATAACAATAATTTGGTAAAATAAATACTACACACGCGCCTAGTTCTCGAGCACTTAATTAAATAGAAAACCTTAACAAACCCTATATTAGGCAGTTCGAGCTATTCACCCAACATATACACGTTCTGAAACCTCCACTCCTCCAGTAAATTCTCTTGACCGAATCGGTAAAATATTCTGCTCCCGAGTCTTACTCATTTACATACATTCCAGACCTCCTGTCGGACTAAACATTTTTCGGTGCATTTAACGATCGGACAATGGGCCCTGAGTGATCAAAGCACCATAAATACGCGAATCCCACGCATTTACATACAATCTCCTCGACAGTTGATCTGTGGGGACGTGAATGGTCAAAATGGCGTATACTATTTGTATTCATAGTCTACAATATGCATCCTGAATAAATACAATCTAAAATAGGGATGACTGGAGGCGGATAAAATCCTTTTAATTACTATAAAAATAGGTAATGGATCAAATGTGAATTTATTTTATATATCAAAGTATTATTTACGATACTTCCTAAAATTAGGGTTGTCAATATTGATTTTGCTAATACCAGTTTGTTTCTTAAGAAGAAAATTAGCCTTTTGCAACAAAAAACTAAACTACTTGTTGAGCGTTAAGATTGGCGAATCAAATACAAAATTAATTTTTTGTCGTGCTATATAAGTATCGACGTTTTTATAAGACATTCCGATCTCATTCGTAAAACATATTCGACCCTGACACTAAGGTTGCGGTGACTTTATAATTCAATTTGCGAAATGTATTAAACAAATGACGGTGTACGTAAGTCCAGCTCCTAAGTTACACCATTGTTTTGTATAACAGTTCTCCCATCTATTTCTATATTTTTTTTATTAATAAGTTGTAGGTCAATAACATTAATTTTTTTAAATATAATCTGTTAATTTGTCTTATTACCTCCGAATTCACCGCTTATAGCACACACAGAAACTCCTTGATTATTCATCAATAATTTCCAGTTTCATTGTCGATTTAGATGGTAGTCGCCACGATCAGCTGTTAGAGATAAAAAATTAAATCGAAAAGACACAGCGATAAACAAAAGGAAAATAATCTCAAATGATTTATTATAATTACCTCTATCGGACATAATACTTACATCCAATTACGCAGCAATCGCATGAAATTAGAATTGCAATAATCGTGTGTATAAAATAATACTGCGTGGGTGTTCACTAAATATTCTGAGGGAGACCAAGAAATGTCAGCTTCCGAAACGCGACGATTGGATCGACAAAAGATAATGGGGCTTTAAAAATTCGTCTCGCTTTTTTGCTTTCGACAGTGATACTCAAATTCGCATTTATGTACGTTACCTTATTATTATCGAGTCTAATGGCAATGCCGCAAAGATCAAAGCGATATTATGAACATATTACCTACAAGGTTTTATGTACACCGAGGTGGGATAATAAATTAAGTTTGTTATATGCAATATTGTTGATAACAAAACTTTTATTATGCGCTTAATGGGTAATTATTGATTTGAGAACGAGTTCTGTTTTCAAATTCAAATATACATAGTATCGTTTTGGGTGGGTCTGTCAATAAATTGTTAAACATTTATTGTGTTTTTATAGGTTGTTGGGCAAGAGCTACTTGCAGCAGGGCAGTATCAAGCGGCGGTGACGGTTTTGGAAGCGGCCTTAAGAATTGGGTCGTGTTCACTCAAACTCAGGTAGGAACAAAAGGATTTGTGTTATCCTACACCTTCTCATGGGACATACATTATTCTGTGTATGTTTCATTAAAAGTATGTGATTATCCTTATATGTCTGACACATGCTGTCGACTTTTGAAGACTTGCCGTTTCCCTCACACGTTACAGTAGAAGCAAGTGTAAGTTGCGCACATAAAAAGTTCGTACGTTTCCGAACACACGCCGTCAAGATTAAGAATTGAACAAAAATAGAATTTGTTTATAGCAATGATACTTTCAATTAAATACAAAAACGTTGATAATACCAGCTTTTTAAAAGCAATGGTAAAGATCATCGTTAGCAGTTATTTGAATAACATAACTGTTAATTACATTACTTTTTTTTAACTGTAATTATTAATATAGTTAAAAAATTAATATAACTATTGTTTAAACAAATTTTGAAGATATATAAACGTATTTTTAAACAGCTGAGATTGATTTGGTTTTATCTATAAAACTATTTCTGTATAAAAATTTTGAAAATGAAAAGACAACATTTTGTCTTTAGATACATAATTCTTAGGCGCATATTTTTTGTGGACCTTGCAGATTACACGAATCCGTCAAGTTCGATTAATGTTCTACAGCTAAGCTTTTCACTTAAAACAATTAACCCAAAAGCCAACCAACTATCGATCACTTCCTAATCCCGTTTTGTACCTCACTTGACTGCTATGCAAAACCGTTTGATTTATAATTTAGCCGGTCTCGGTGAGATATCCTGTTTCAGATTAATCTTAGTACTTCACACCTTACTCTACCTTTCACACCCCAGGGAAGACAAATTACGGCAAGATTTATTATTAAACCATGATTGACAAGAATTCGGTTTTCTCTTAAAATTATTTGTATGAATAAATTTGTGCAATTAAAGAGTACCTTACGTGTCTATTGCAGCTCCTCCGAATCATCGGGGTGATTCAAAAGTATTTTGGATTTTTTCTTTGATCCAAGAATGATTTTACTTGACTTTATTTTTTTGTGGTTTGATAGTGTTAAATAAGGATAAGTACCCAAGCCCAAGGTTCGTAGTTAAATATAATTATCTTAGCAGTACAAGTTTATATTATCCGCAACTGTACTGCCTCACTTAAATAGTAGAATAATTTTAAGTTGATATTGGTACTTATTAAAAAAGGCTAGGAACAGCACCTAGGCAATTGTCGGGTTTTATATACATACTTAAATTGTTGCAAGAAATTTACACATTAACACGTCCGGTGGAAGGCGCTCATCCTATCTTTGCATTCAAAAATATCACCTCATTATTAATCAATGCCGTTACACCTTGACAGTGAAATAATTTATACGTACTTAGCGGATAATTATCTTTGGCGGAATTTCGACATTTTGATTTATAATGCAATTCGCCGCATCGCTTTTATATGCTGGCTTGTCCGATTGAAGTCTACCTTAAAAAGGATACCATGTCTGTCTCAAGGGTGATATTGGGTGATAAATATAGCTTTATTTTACGTACATGTTATGGAGGTAATTAACGTCGGTTATCTTAGTTTATTGGTGATAAAAACAGCCTTAATATTTAATTAAAAGCGTAATATGAACGTATAAAACGTGCATACTTCGATATTTAATACAATTATAATTTATTAGTTTAATTTTATATACTGTAAAACTTTTCTTCACAAATAATAATAAATTATCCACAATTATAGTTTTTGAAGTCTTACAGAAGAAAAGCTTTGACCGTTTCTGAATCTGGATTTAACTTATTTTAAATTATGATTTTCTATTTATTTTAATATTAAAATTAAATACTCCCTGCTTAAAATCTCGTTAAATAAACACATTATAGGCGAAAAACATTACTCAACTTTACCTATCAACTTGTCGCGATTAATTAATTTAAGAAATTTTTAAATTAACTATCTTCTTCAGTTACTGTCATAATTTTATGTTAATCACGTTTATAAACTATTTATATTATTATTGTTTTTTATCGTAATAATGATTTGTATTTTTGTAATCTTAAAGACGTAATATCAGCAATCGTTAGTTTTCTCTTTTTCTAGTATCAACGCCTTAACAATTGGAATTGATTTGACATTTAATTTTACAGTAATGTCAGTCCAACAGACACTCCTCCGAGAAACGGGGCGTAAGATATACTCATTGGTTTAAGGTTTGCAAGATCAAAAAGAGTAGAATCATGGAAAGCTTGGTATAAAAACCGCAATGCTTTCGGTTATCAAAGTAATTTAGAGCTTTACTGAGCTGTCTGCGACTGATGACTTCAAACTTGACCGCGCGCGGAAAACCACACCTCACGATCTTATCGTGTTATGTGATGGATCGAATTCGTAAAATAATATTACTATGGATTCTTTTGAGTAACAATTCTTTATTAATTTTAATGCAATACAGCGTATACACACAAATATTCTTGAAGTTTTATTTCCTAAGTAAAATCTTAAATAGTTTAAATATTGTTTACAGTTTAACAACTGAAGAAGACTTTGTCAGTTTAGAATACACAATACTTTGAATAACAAAAAACTATTTTAAACAAGTTTTGTCAGAAATTCTAAAAATCATTAATAAATTTTTGTGTCCTAAATGCAGTTCGAATTTATCAAGTGGTATGACTAAACTTAATTTTCATGATAACAAGATTTAATAAATCTGATAAAGTTTTGGTTTCGATCAATTTCGTGTAACCTCTCAGTGCATATCTTTATTGTTCCCAAACATTTTTAGCTGTATAAATATACAAGTAATTAATTTTGATCCTTATCGATATGATTTGTGAGTGATGATAGCCTAAAATGGATTAATACAGAATGAAAATAAAGGATTTTTATAGCATGCAGCAGCGTTTCTTTCGAAAACTACTTTGACAATTTCAACGTTAAGTCTTTTCGAAAAGTAGTCGGTCAAGTAAAACGGGTAAAATTAAGAAATAAAAAAAGTTTTGAAAATCCCCATCGATCTTATGTGTGCTACAAAAGTTATTTATCAAGGTCAAAATTTGAGGATTTTTTTCTCGAAAAGGCAAGTCCGTCAAAAAAGGGGTGCAGCTTTCTGTAAGACTTAAACAAAATTAGAAGTTTTTTTGAGTTAAATGCATAAGATTCGGTTTGCTAACGATGTATTACTTTTACCGTACGAGCCAAGTGTAAGAATTTTTGTTATTTGCACATAGTGTAAATGTCCTTGATGGACCGGCTGTCAAGAAATCAGCTTTCGATGCCTTCACAAACCGTAGAGTTGGGGTTAAAGGCAAAAGCATAAGGCCATGTTGGGGTCTAAGGTTCACTCATACGATGGTTTCTTTTAACGAATAGCTAAAGGTCTAGATGAGCCACTTATAGATTTTACATTTTGACCGCCATGTTCGAAACTAAACTTATTGTAAGCTTGCCATGATTCTCTACAGGCACTCGTAAATTACAAAAAACTGTGAAACCGAGTCATACATTACGACAGCCTTAAATTAGATTAACCGAGAAATTCATGCAGCCTTGCTCTTTACTAATATGAAATTTTAATACATTAATTTGATAAAATGAGTCCAGTATATTTGTGCTTATCAAAATCCATGTTTTATTGGTGCTACTTACTCTATACTACATTCATAAATCAGCAGTGTTTATGTATCTTTTCGCGATAAACAAAATTACTTCGTGCATACCAATAATAAAAGTTACATCTTGTAACACTTAACATTTTAATAACGCATTAGTGCAACATACTAAAGTATTAGGGCTACCAAACGAATATACAAAGTATATGTATAGTACCACTTATAAAGTTTTAAACAATAATTTAATTAGTATTTATATACATATACATCTACGACACAAAATTACTTTACCAACATAATGCCTTCCCAAACGTATCCACAGCGTTACAAAGTTAGTACAATTATATAAATATTATTTGCTTACTTTCTACAGAAGCATAAACATTTAAAATAGTCAATCGATCTTCAATGATTAACTTAGCGTCAAGTCACGCGTTGAATGCTTTTGTTCTAAGGTTAATCTTGAAATGTTGTATTTTTTACCAGTGGTAACCCTATCTAACTACACCTATATTTAAATAGCTATCGTATATCTCACATAATCTCATCAAGCTGACACGAGCAAGCGAATTCCATTAATCCTCTAGTTACTTGGCGTTACATCAATTCTGGAAATGGGTTTTATTAGCAAGTACACCAACGAACACACACAATAATGACTTCCTTACAGGATTGTCTACATTGGGCAATTAGTTTAAGTATTAAAAAAAGTACTGTATGACGATGTATAAATGTTGTATAAAGCTGCCAGTCTCCGGATATCCTCTTTGATAGTTCTCATTTTAAAGTGTTCGTGAACTCATGCATGTGGTCTGTTCCAATTGCTCTTAGGATCTTGATCTGCTGTCGCTGGAGCATCTTTATGTTGGTATCACTTGCGCTGCCTTATTATAAAAAACCTTATTTTTACCCTTTAGGTTATCGACCTATCTATTATAAGTGGTTACATAAACGGTAGATTTTGAAATATTTATACACATGTAAGAAAAGGTTAAATCGGTTTATCTATGTGTCTTTGTTACTAGCTAAATCCACAACAGCTTACAAATTTATCAACCAATATTGGAACCTATCTAAATTCCTCTAGGAATGAATTATAGCTGTACTCGGAGTGATCCAACAAGAGTGCAGACTTACCAAACCCCTAATTTACACTAGGTACCTTATTCTTCCTTAAATCAGGCGTGAATTAATCAAATATTAAATTTTATAACTTAGTTGCAGATTTATAAATATAATTATTTATTCACGATAACAAATAATTCAATACGTCAGAGTGTGCGTCTTAATAGGCAATTTGTTTGCAGGGGTTCAGTATTCAGCGCATTATCATCAGCTCACTGGGCACTTAGCCAACTGGACGCGGCTATCAACTATATGCAACAGGATCTCGCGGTCGCGAAGTCCTTAGGAGACACGGCCGGTGAATGCAGGGCGCACGGAAATCTCGGAGCTGCATACTTTAGCCAAGGATCATACAAAGATGCACTCACCGCACACAGATATCAGCTAGTGTTAGCTATGAAATGCAAGGTATGATAATAGATTATGTGTTAATAACAAGAAAATGTTTTGAACTAAAACTAAACCATGACGTAACAAGGTACTTGATACCTTTCATTGTATTTGTTCGCTATTATGTTCTTACCTAAAATAGTACATATGTACAATCTAAAAACATAAAGGTTTTGATTACAAGACTAATATGAAAAAAAACTAAAGATACATTTCAAATTCTTCGTGTAGAATATTTTAAAAATAGTAACAAGATCAAAATTGTTTCTTTGAATTGTGAACGATATATCCAAGTAGGCAATGAACAGATTGAAATGTATAATAATAATTAACTAAAATGACTTAAGCCTTAAAGCTGGTGCATTATTGTTCATGCAAAGCTTGTCTCTGAGAGTTTGTAAGCAACTTAGCGAGCTTATTTAATTTAGCATAGGAATTCAATCTCCGACCATGACCCTGCCTTGTGGTTGTTTTTTAACTTTCGTCCAATTATAAAATGTGGTTTTACTCGCGAAGTAATCTTGTACTTTGTATTCAGTCTTACGGAATGATTAAACAAGATAATCTTTGATTTTAAATTGAATTACCTTTGTGATTAAATTTGCAAATACTTGAATGTATTTTGAAAACGTGCATAACTAAAATAAAGACAATACAGGAATGCTGAAAATGAATTTTCGAAATGAGTATAGAATTGTGTGTTATTTTTTTGCATTAGCGGTTAACTTCTATAAATAGGACAACTATTAATGCCTGGCTCTTTTCTTTTCATTTAATATATAATACTTATAATTTACTCTGTTAACAAATAAAAACATTTAAATAAGTCTATCAAAAACTTAATAATGTGTATAAGAAATATAACTATAAGAGTATTTATATTCTATACAATTTTTTAAAGTAAAAAAACTAGTACCACTACAACCTTTTTGGTCTGGGCCTTAAGCAAAATTTCTGTATCTTTTTTTCTCAATAAAACGTCGGTACTTCTCCTTTTTTTTTTTTTTTTTTTTTTTTTTTTTTTTTTTTTCGGATAGACAAGTACATGTAATCAGCCTTCTGTGCCTGACCCGCCCTTGACTTTTTTGGGTCTAAGGCATGCCGGTTTCCTCACTATCCTTCACCGTACAAGTAGGTCTTAAATGCGCACATAGACATAAAATCCATTGATGCACAGCCGGCGATCAAACCTACGACCTCAGGGAAGAAAGTCGCACGTTATAGCTACTAGGCCAACATTGTTCTAAGTCCGCACGTAACACGGTACCAAATCACTCTTTTAATAGCCTTAAAAGAGTGATTTGGTAATTATTATAATTGTTATATTTTATACTAGATACATTCGACAGTAGTTTGTGAAATTGTTAGTTCGATCTAATCCAGACTTCCTCTGGGACTTAGGAATCTACGTTTCACGTTATTTTCAAAAGAATGTAGATAAACTACTCATTACCATTTACCATGTAGGTAAAGTAATAAAACCGACAATATTTTAAACTTAATGTGTTGTTATCAAAGTTTAGATTTTATGTCTCTGTAAATGCTTGAATATATTAGAGAATTTTATTAAACACATTTGGTATGAGACATTTCGTTGAACAAGTATTTTGAAGCTTTATGTATTTAGAGTTAGGTATATAAGTTATTAATCTTCTTCGTAGCTTTATGTATTATACCATTAGCAATTATGTGGTTATTGAAGGAAGATGTATAAAAAAGGAAGTATGTCATTGGTATTAATTAAGTTTTACATAAAAAAACAAAATTTAATAAATAAAACAAATTATAATTTTAAAATTGCTTCCTGCAAAAAACGAAAATTAACAAAATTACATCTCGCATAAAGCCGCGTCATCTTATACAGCAAACGGACCTTACATTTATATCCCACCCCCCCTTCCCCCCGTCACCTGCGTCTAGAGACTTTTTCTCTGAGCGCCGCGTTGACGCGCGAAAACGCGTGGTACGTTGAACGTTGTATGAAGATTATCCTAGTACATCTAACATAGTTAAGGTATATTCTATTAAAATCGTTTGAACTTTAATTTTAATACTCATCTTTCTTATAGCAACAGTTTTAAGTGTGAATTTCTTGATGATGTAATCTTTATTATAACATTATATAATCAATTACCTCAGTAAGATTATTCACATGGAAATGAGGTAACAATCACTCATACCATACGTTTGAAATCATTGTTAATCTATGTCAAACTAAAAAGTTTTACAAGAAATAACAAATGCTATACGAAAATATTTTATTTATGTTCTCAAAGATTACACATGTTCAAATGAACTTAATCAAATACTTATGAAAATATCTTATAAAAGGATATACACTCGTGAAAATGACATTAGAACTTAAGAAGCTTCCTCAACTTCCTCACAATCGAGTAGCCCAAAATATCGCAGAACACTTTTTATAGCGAAGTCATCCGTCAAGCGTCCGCGAATATACAATGTTAATACAAAAATAGCTATTAGATAGGAATATAACAAAGCAGTAGAAAACAATGTTATTAGTAAATAATTAACTATTAACAGTGTAAAGTTACTAAAACTTATTATTAAACGTTATTTTAAATCTCGTAACCGCTCAATGCAAGTAAGTATCATTAATGCTCGTGTGATTCAAATTACCAACTTGGCAACAATAATTTTTAATTTCTTAAAATACTTTTAGCAATTTTTATCTATAACAGTTTTTATCTAAATTGGTGTTTCGCGTATGCATAGCTATAAATTACTACGAATAAAAGCGCGAATAACTAATCCATATACGATAGAAATCGCTAAAGACACATAAAACAAACGAGTTATGTGAAGTAAAATAAATAGCTCAAGTTTTATTACCGCGTACAATGTGAACAGTCCCACATATGGAACAATCTTTGGAACAAATACTCGTAAAAATATTTTACGCGTTCCAAGCGAACGGCAACCGACAAAAACTCAAAGTAACCGAGAAATGGTAGCCGAGGTGAGGATTTGTCAGTAACACGATATTTTTATAATCGAGCCTGACTTTGAAAAACTATATAAAAGGGCTCCATTTACAGATTTATTCACCTTTATGCCGGTTATAATTTGATATCGTATTGTTTTATGCGTTAAGAAATGCACGCGTTATGAGAATTTTATATGACAACTAACAATTTGTTTTTAATGAAAGCGATCGGAGCCTTTTTTACGAGGATGTAATGCTGTGTTAGGTATGTTATTGTTGTTTATTATATTCAGTGATCAACTGCCTTATTTTTAAAATATTATCCTTTTCCAAGATTTCCAAGGCGATATGATTTTCAAGAAAAAAATATTTATTTTTAAAAATCATCAAATATGACGTGTTACTTCTTCACTACCACTATACCAGCTTATAAGATGTATAACTTATATTAAATACATCTTTAGGATTTAAGGTTCAGTTTATAAGAGATAAAAAAACAATTGACTAACAAAAGCACAGATGTTAGCATTATTCTCTGTAATACGTTGTAATTAGCTTTAAAGTATTTAAATAATATTGAACCGAAACTTCCAGTAAACAATTAAACATCTTTCTTAAACAAGCGTTGGTAGCTATGGCAACCCAGTCATTAGTACTATCTTCGAATTGCCCGTCAAACATCAATCGGATTACGTTTAGTAGAGAATTTGCGATGTTCGACTAGTCTCGATAATTAGTTTCGTACTCACCGCATTCAGAGAACATTTCGCAATTATTGTAAGACAGACGTTTAGCTTTATCGCAAACCTTGGCTTAGCTTTTAATTAGATTAGATATAGATTTTAAATTTAAGTGACTTGCGTAACTATATACATTATACATACTTAAAGGCAAGATACAATCGTAAGGCTAAATTAATAAGAGTTGATAAATTTAATGAAAGTCTGTATTTTTTGATATCCCAAATCTCAATCATCGAGATCGGTTCACAGTTGGAGGAGTTATGCGTGAGTATACACAAAACACACGTTTTATAAACCACCCGTGGATTTAAAATAACTTAAAAATTTAATCATATAACAAAATACCGATAAAAAGTATATGAAGCATATCAGAAACCACGTATCTCCCTTGCTACAGTCCTTACATACCTCTCTCACTTATCCAATTTCCAAATGCTCATCGGTTATGGATACCTTTAAGACCTAATCTTTTTAATCTAATTAAAATACTTTTGATAGGACCATATTGATTTTCGTATAATTCGTGCTTATTAAAATTAATAAAAAGATCTGCTCACACGCTTTAAAAATTCGAAACTTTATTTCATTAGAGGAAATTCTACCAATGCATTGCACTAAAAACCTCGAACAGAAATCATGTATTGCATTGTCCACAAATAACGTTCAGTAACAAGGTGCACAGAATAATAAATGTTGATAAACGCAAACTTCATTCAAGTATCCACTATTTATTATAGCCACACAGCTTTATGTGCGAGGAATGCAACCAGAGCGACCAGTACAAAAATCATGTAGTTGAAGAAAACTCTTATAGTAAAAAACGTTTAGTTCATTCGATTAAAATAACAGTGGCTTAGCATTCACTAAAATCAGGTTAAATATAAAATATCTATTAATTATTATTGTAATTATTGTCGATGTTCGGTGGACGAAGAAATTGTGAAAAATTTGTGTTGCAGCATCACATAAATTTAAGGATGTTTTTAAATAAATATGGATTAAATTTCAAATTTTTTTCAATTTCTGGTCCATACGATACTTTTCGTTAATTAGAGAAACGTTGTACTAACCGTGGAGTGAGGCTAGGTCTAAGACAAAGCCTAGGTCCAAAGCATAGTTACTATAAAACGTCCAACCGAGATCGAGTCAATATGTAAATCATCAGTTTATCGTATCATGTTGCACATACTTAATTAGCTAGATTACTGCGACCCGACTGGGCTAGTGCTGTGCGGCCTTTTAATGTCGATACCGTCTTATCGAGTTATTTCCATCGTTGGCAATTAAAGATAAAAATAAAGTTTTTACTGGCAACGAAGTTGCTGTGTTTATTCTTATTTAGATCGTAAATCACAGGGTTTACACACTCTACACATTGCGCGTTGTGTGCGTTATTATACATTTTATGAAAAATATTTCAACGGTGAGCATTAATTATACTGTAAATTTTAATTACTATTTCGACAACACACAACTCTTCACTGAAGTTCTATAATTGTAAATGCAATTTTTGGTTTGATTGTTTCATCATTTGTTATCGACAATAAACATACATCTTTATTTAACACATACAATATCGCTGATATCAGCTTTACATACTGTACATGTCACTGCCATAAGAATTTAAGCTTTAAGCTGTAAAATATTGTACCCATTTGAGTGAATCAATGCAATGCGTATGCTAACCTTGAAATGAGCTCCGTTCGTTTGAATAAATTTATTAAAACAAAAACACATCGATACAAATCTCACATCACTAACTCATTTCACGAAGACAAAGACCCTATCGGCGGTCCGTCGTCAGATATTTTTTTCTTTTGTCATCCATTTCCTCAGTGGAAAGGATGCGCCGCATTCTAATCGTCTTTTATTTGTTCATAATCCCTTTGTTTGCGTTCAGTCAACAGGGGATTGAATTTTAAGTGATTTTTGGAAACATCGAATATTGAACTATTTATTATAACAGAACACACTTTTTTGCATATAATTTGAATTCTATAGGGTTTCGTTGAAATTGAAATATACAAAAGCTTGAAATCTATATTAATTATCTTAGTTCTCACATTGCTTATTCGGCTATCGTAAATTATATGTTAAAGCAGTTAATCCTAATTATTAAAGAAATATACTTTATTAGCATTCTACTAGAGCCAATAATTATTTTTTAACGAAAATCGTGCCATTTAAATACTTATAACAGATAAAGTTCAGAACACATACAAAACATTCTTATCTATGCATTATGTGACATTCCAGGATACGCAAGCCGCCGCAGCCGCCCTGACCTCTCTAGGCCACGTATACACGGCTATCGGTGACTATCCAAACGCGTTGGCCAGCCACAAACAATGCGTGCAACTAGTTAAACAAATGGGCGATAGATTACAAGAGGCGAGAGAGATCGGAAATGTTGGCGCTGTCTATTTGGCCATGGGAGAGTTTGATTCAGCCGTGGATTGCCATACGCAACATTTGAGGCTTGCTAGGCGACTTGGTGATCAGGTATACATTATACTGAATGGAAAATTACATTGTCTTTGAAATCTTATATAGTTTGAATTTTTCATTTTTTCTATATGCTGAATTGCTTAATTTTAATCAAACATTTAACAAACAATAAATTATTGTACGTCAATACCACCTGGTATTCATTATCAATCAATTAATACTCAAATCAAATCATTGCATTACAGTGTTTAATGAAATAAATATTTAAATAAAATACACTTGTGGCACATGAAAATGCGTATCATAATCCCAAATTCTATCAAATATGAAGCCATAATCATACAGATCTTAAGAAACATTAAAAGCCTTTTCACGATTTTTATAAATAAAACTAAAATAATTGTTAAATTTTAGTAATAAAACAAATTTGAAGCCTAGAAATGAAATTCCTTTCAACATTTGTAATAATCGAAATTAATTTCTTTCTTCAGGTCGAAGAAGCTAGAGCCTATTCAAACCTCGGTTCTTCATACCACTGCAGAAGGAACTTCACACAAGCTATCGCATATCATGAAAATGTATTGAGAATCGCGCAAAACCTTGGCGACAGAGCTATCGAAGCGAGAGCTTATGCAGGGCTTGGACATGCTGCCAGGTATTTTACGAGTATAACTGAAGATGACCATTTATTTATTATTACAGTTGAAACCAAAAATTAGAATTATTTAATAGAAAAAATTAGAATTTATTGAATAGAAAAAAGAATATAAAGTTTTGTGTTTCAATTCTAATCAAAATTCTTAATCCACTAACAAATGAAAAAACAATTATTTGTACTTTAACTGACGATATTTTTTGTTTATTTAAGATGCGCAGGCGACTATGCTCAAGCAAAAAAATGGCATGAGAGGCAATTGGATGTTGCACTTGCAGCGAGAGATAAGGTAATTTTAATTAAATTTTACAGTATTAAGATTACTTCATCATTTCGATAATATTAACAGGTTGGATAGATATTTTTTAAGTTATTTAATTCACATGTAAAGTGTAAAGACATTAATTGATTATCAGCTTTTTGTACGATATAATAATATAATTAAATTATTAAAAAAAATTAAAAAAAATAATAATATTGCGTATTATTTTCTATGTTCCGTACTATTTGTGTAAAATTCACACATAGAAAGAAAAAGCCGGGATTCGCACGCCTGACCTGAAGTCACCAGGCCAATATTTCTCATTTTATAATAGGTTTGTTGTGATTTTTCAGGTTGGTGAAGGTCGCGCTTGTTCAAACTTAGGAATCGTGTACCAATTATTGGGAGAACATGACGCTGCGTTAAAATTGCATCAAGCACATTTATCTATTGCCAGGCAATTACAGGTATATTTTCTAATGTATCTATTACTTAAATATACTACATATATATAAAAATATTGGTATAGAATAACTTTAGAACTTATAAACGTACTATATGTTTAAATTATGAAACGCTTCTTTTATTTTTATTTAATATAAAAGTAATAAAGGCTGGTTTTATAATATAATAATAATTAAGATATGTAAAAGTTGTGATATAATTTGAGCATATTAGATAATTAATATAATTTTTTTGAAGGATAAAGCTGGTATGGGCCGTGCCTACGGGAACATTGGCAATGCATACTCAGCTGCCGGCTTCTATGAACAAGCCATCAAGTACCACAAACAAGAACTGACTATTTCCAAAGAGGTCCACGATAGAAGTTCTGAAGCCTCTACTCATGGGAATTTGGCTGTGGCTTACCAGGCGTTGGGTGCTCATGATATGGCCTTGTTCCATTATAGAGCACATTTAGGTAAGTCAAACGGCAACCTTGCTGACACATTTGGTTCTCTCCTTGTTAGTAAGCTCGTGTGCTCTTTTCCCGTTAAATCGAATCTAGATCTTTGAGCAATTGGTAATGCCGTAGTTTACTACAATTATTTTTAATCTAATTAAATGTTTATTTCGGACAATGAAACACTTATATTTAGTAGTACAACAAGTATCCCAAAAAGATAAGTTATAAAAATTAGAAACTGATACTAAAGAAGTTTGCTTAATTCTTAACTTATAATAATGAGTATACTTCGGATTTATTTATTCCAGTTTCAGCATCAGTAGATATTCCATATCTAGTTGATACACTAGTGAAATAGGCTATTTGGCAGTGTTGTTAAGTCTGTATAACTGAAATATTTAACTTTTCAGACATTGACATTACTGAATTAAATAGAACAATTTGTGTATGCTCTAAAACAATAATAATAAGAAATAAAAGCCTTTATTGCTGTAATTACTTATACTAGTACATAAAAATGTGAAGTACTAATAAATTAACACAAAAAATAAACACTAATAATTAATCGGCAAGCCAGTTAATTTCTGTTATACAGCTTGTCCTTAGACATAGGCCTCCTCGAACAGCTTCCACTCTTCTCTGTTTCTAGCTTTGCGAATCCACATAGGGCCATGCTCTATAGATACTAATAAATAATCTAAATGATTTTTAAAATCTTGTCAAGTAGCTTATTTTTAAAACCAACTTGCGGGAGAAGTACACATTCTAATAACTCTAATATTAAAAAAAATTGTATAGTTTGTTTGTTAATTATTAATGATAGATTTAGTGAAGAAGTTCCAGTAACTTTGATTGACGAATCAGTACTGAAAATATTGCGTTCTACAGGCATAGCTCGCGAACTTAAAGACGCAGCGGGCGAAGCGTGTGCGCTCCTAAACCTTGGTAACTGCCTTTCGTCAAGAGGGGAGTTTGCTCAAGCAGTTCCGTATTATGAGCAGCATCTGATGTTATCACAGGAGCTTGGTGACGTCACAGCAGAGGCTAAGGCATGCCACTTTTTGGGCTACGCTCATTACTGCTTGGGAAACTATAGGGAAGCTGTAAGGTGAGCCGTATTCTTATACAAAAATAATTAAAAGCACAAAAGTTGTATTTCAAAACTAGGATTTATTTTTTATAACCGTACGTAAAAGTAAAAAAAAAAATTATTCTTAAAAGTGACAGAATAATTTAAATTGGTAGAAAACAAATACTTCACAGGAATATATAAAAAACCAGTGGTTTTACAAACTTTTTGGGTCTGGGATGCAGGTTTCTGTATCTGTTTTGTGATCATGTTTTTTCCTAATAGGCAAGAACGAGTAGATTATCGACTTTTTGATCTAAGGCATGTCAGTTTCTTCACGATGTTTTCCTTCACCGTATGAACGAGTATTAAATTGCGCACGTAGACAGAAAGTCTATTAGTGCACTGCTGGTGTTTGAACCTACAGAGTCACACTTCACTCTGCGTTCCAGGAATAAAGTACTTAATATTACAAACAACGGATTTATCCAAAAGTCCACCTAAAACACCATTTAGACATCACCATTATGTTGTATTAATATTATTTACAATTTACAGATATTACGACCAAGATCTGTCACTCGCCAAAGATTTACAAGACAAAATGAACATGGGTAGAGCATACTGCAACCTAGGGTTGGCGCACTTGGCATTAGGGAACCTAGAAACAGCCTTGGAGTGTCAAAAATACTTCCTAGCGATTGCGCATATGACTCAACATTTGCAAGGAAAGTTCAGAGCTTTGGGCAACATTGGAGATGTCCTCATTAAAATGGGTGACGTTGAAGAGGCAGTTAAAATGTATCAACGACAACTTGGGTTTGCGAGACAGGTCGGTGATATCTTATATATGTAAAATTTTAATAAAAATTTTTTTTTAATTTATAAAATTAATTCACATAATACAGTGTTAACCTACATAGCGACGCTGAAAGGCATGCGCATGCGCATTTTCTGACTTTAAAGGGAATTGTCAGTATAAGGCTTATTGCCTTACATTGTATTGTACTAATATATACATATATTAGTAATCGACATTTAATATTATAATATACTAATGTAAAGTTGTAAATAATTTTAGGCTCGCGATCGCTCTCTTGAAGCAGCAGCGTGTGGCGCTTTGGGTCTTGCGAGACGATTGCAGAGAAGGTTGGATGCTGCATTGGGTCACCACACACAAGTATGTACTTCCCAAAACTTTGACGACATTAAAAATGAATTAAACAAATGCAAAGAAGATTATGACTAGTTAAAGAATGTTTTTCCCAAATCTGAAGTTGTTATTATATCATTGTTGCATTGATAAATAAATTATAAGGGGTAATTGTGTTTTACAGGAATTAACGTTACGGCAAGAGGCGGGTGACGCGGCGGGAGAAGCCCGAGCCCACTCACATTTAGGGGCCGTTCACATGGCACTCGGACACTACTCACACGCAGCCAGGTGCTACAGAGTAAGTAATAATATATACCCTAACTACAAGTTTTGTACGGTATATTGACTTGGAATTAACTTCGATAAAAAGTTAAATACAAAGGAATTGAGTTCGATAAAGAGTAAAAAATAGAAATTAGAAAGAGAGAGAAAGATCCCGATACTATTTTATAATTCGGTAACAATAATAATTGATTTTTTTGCCAGAATATCGCATTTTTTTCAGTTTTTATATTATTACACAGTCTAAGATGTCATCAAAATCGCGACTTATAGACTCCTTATCGTTTCGTATTCCTTCTAGTATAGAATAAGTATTTTACTCATTAACTAATTAAAATGTTGTATGTAAATAAATAAAAAACTATTTATTTAAAAGGAGCAACTGGAAAGAGCGCAAGAACTACAAGATTGCGCGTTAGAGGCGCAAGCGTACGGCAACTTGGGGATCGCAAAACTAAATATGGGACATTATGAAGACGCTATCGGATATCTAGAACAGGTAAAGATTGTTGTTTAAAATTTAAGTATTCCTCTTAATTATAACTCTATTTGTAGACTATAGCAACACGTTACTTAAAGTATAGTCTCCGTTATTAAAAGTGGAGTATACAATATCGAAGGCGAAGAAACTTAACTAGAAGTTAAGCGTGTAAATTTTTTTTTTTTTCTTTTTTTATTGTTATTTTGTGTGTTTTTGTTTGTAATAAATGATATGTCTATGTCTAATTCTCAACATTGATATCAGTTCTTCTAGTCCCGGCTCCTTCTTGTTCTTTATGCATGCGCAAGTCGTTCCTCGTACAGAAGAAAAATATTGTGTGGAAACGTGTCTTAGACCCAAAAATTGACTATGTTTGTTATTATTCTATTTACCCTAATATTGATATATAAAACAAATGCAATCTGAAGATACGACCCTAAATAAAGCCGTAACAATTAAATTATTTTTAATAAACGCTTACACTGACATATAAATAATAAATATATAACAAATTTTCCAGCAACTAGCAATCCTTGAACGCGTTAATACGCCAACGTGTCAGCTAGATAAGGCGCGTGCGCTTGGCTCGCTCGGCGATTGCTACGACGCATTGGGAGACCCCGATGAAGCTGTCAAGTACCACGAGCGACATCTGGCGGCTGCTCTTAAATTGAACAATGCGCGGGAACAGGAACGAGCCTACCGAGGCCTAGGATTGAGTCATAAGTAAGTATACTCAGAGTAATCTAATATATAAAATTCTCGTGTCACAATGTTAGTTCCCATACTCCTCCGAAACGGCTTGACCGATTTTTACCAAATTTTATATGCATATTCAGTAGGTCTGAGAATCGGCTACTATCTATTTTTCATACCCCTAAGTGATAAGGGTTGTCCACCCGTAACATTTTATTTTTATTTTTTAGACAAAATTTTTTGTTTTTATTTTTTTATGATACAGCATACAAAAATACATACAACTCCTAATTTTCACCCCTCTACGTTAAACCTCTATTTTTACTATATAGTTAGTACGCTCTTTTATTGAACTAAAAAATGTTTCCTAGAAATATTATGCATGGCAATAGTTTTATATAAGTACTTATAATATTATGTTCTATGAAAACTCCAGTTTCAAAAACCCCGATAATTAAGATGTAGTAAAAAAGAATTTAGTTCTATACCATACCTTATAGCTATAGTACACGGTCTATGCTCTACCATAGGTACTTAAAATAAGAATGTCTATTATTATTATCATTTAACACTAGGTATGAGAAGTATATATTTTAAAGGGCTTAACTGTTCTACACTTCTGCAATACAACTCTCATACTTTATTATGCTTCTGCATTGTTATTACTCTTTATTTTCTTAAGAAGTAGAAAGAACTCAAAAGTTGTTTGTTTAGGTCGGTAGGAAACCTGCAGCAAGCCCTCGTATGCCTCGAGAAACGCCTAGTTGTATCACACGAACTCGGTGTACCTGAAGCAAAGGCACAGGCGTATGGCGAACTTGGCGCATTACACATTTCACTCAATAACTTAGAGCAGGCTGTCTCTTGTTTGGAGCATCAGAAGAATATCGCCAAGTAAGTTGTATATAATGAAAATAATAATTTAATAGAATGAAAATAAAAGGTCGTTTGCTCATATTTTTTGTAGTCATTTCATCAATTTAGAATATATATGGTATCCATAAATTTAATACAGAATCACCTAAATCAATTCCTTTAATAAATTTCATTTATCACTATATTACATGCATTATCAGTTTAGAGATATTATAACAAGCAAAACCCAATATCCAAAATGTAAAAATAGAATCACTTCTCGCACGGTTGAAATTAGTTGAAATTAGTGATAGCTTCTATGGCCTATTCAGTTTTTTTTGTGCTGAATGTCATAGGAATATTTTTTTGCTGGTTGTTAATAAATTTAAAAACAACTGATTTTTAAACTCATTATGAGATTACGTGGTGTATCAAACACTTCTCTGTATACATATACTACTTCAAATATTACAACAAATTCTTCAACAACTAATTATAATGCGCAGGGAATTAAATAACCAAATAATGGAAGCCGAAGCGTGCCACTCACTTGGTGTGGCTCATCAAGCGCTCGGGGAACACTCCACGGCCATAAGACATCATCGCGCTGAACTTGAACTCGCGCATCGGTTGGGACTAACTCACTTACAAGTAAGTAAAGGCACTAGATTTTTATACAGAAATATAGTATAATGTTCATTTATGTTAGTAGGTTATTTTATGAAGTGTTTTACGTAAAATAAATTGTTCTAATAGAACTATATAATTATCTCCGTCAACATCAATCATTTTAACAAAATCATACCACGTTAAAACAAATGAAAGCACTACATTCAATCACTTAATAGTAAGCACGGATAACTTTAATAACGTCATTATAGTTGTTACTTACACGTGATTAATATAAAAACAAGCCCAGCCATTTTACCTGCGTTATTGCAATCATAGAGTAATATTGTATATAAAATTTTCAACTTAAATCAATACTTTCGAAGATTACCGCGTTCAACCCAATATACAATTAATGCTGAATAAAATTTATTTTTCCAATATCAATATGAATTAAGGATTTTCATTGAGATATTATTTTCCTTTCTGACGTACAGGCTCGCGCATGTGGAGGTCTTGGCGCTGCGCACGCAGCAACGGGCGCGCACGCTGAAGCTGCACGCTGGCACGAATCACGTCTAAGACATGCTACTGCTTCTGGTATATAACTTTTTAACACCCCCATTAAAAATGCAACTTTATATAATTTAAGTTTTCATTGAATACAGGCGTTTCAAGTGCAAGTGTCAAAATTCTAGAGAATATTTTTATCTTTTTTTTTTTTAGAGTATCATTTTCCAGGTATCCAACTATTTTTAAGAAATAATAAAAAGTACAAAAAATTATATAATGAAGTTATTTATTATTTTTGAAGTTATACTTCTTTTGGCGCGTTAGGGAAAAATGATGAGAGTAAATTTTTTCTATTGTTAGTGTCGTTTTTTCTACAAACGTAGAATAAGGCGAAAGATCAAATTTTTGAAAAGATTTTTAACTTGTTACGCCAAAGAAGTATAACTTCTAACGCGTGTAAAGTACACGCATGTTTTTTAAAAAAATAAAAATAAAAATAACCTAATCGTAAATATATATAGGTGACACACGTGGACGAGCTCATTCATTAGCCGATTTGGGCAGAGCTCACTTAGCAATGGGGGCTTGTGGCAGTGCCGTGTCTTATCTGAGACAAGCACTCGCTGCTACTGAAGGGTTGGCTGATGCTGACGAAGAGGTAAGCTTTTTGAAGTTAAACTTCTTTAGGCGCATGAGGGTAAAAATTTTATATGTTTCAATGGTCAATAATTTATATGTACTTTGTATTAAAGGACTTAGGTCTTAGATGGATCTTTACTTCTTAGATCTTTATTACTCGACGGTTTTTCAAATAATTTTATCAGTTGAAGTTTTTATAATATTAATTTCTACATAAAGTAAAACAAGTTACCTTTCGTGTTTGTTCTCGTTTAGATATTTTGAACTACGATTTTCCATTTCCACGCTTTTCGTAACGGGTAATTAAAAAAATAGCTATTAATACAACTATATAAAACTCCGTAAGACAATTAACTAAGTTATTAGTTTATACTAAGTCTTAAAAATATAATATATTATATTTTTCCGACTAAATAGTCCTAATTTTTAACCTACATAGTAATAATTAAAATAATTAAAAATTTATAAAGGAAAATTAAAACAAATTTTAAAAGTTTGGTCCCTGGCAGCCTAAATGTATAAAAGGTAAAAATTTATCATTGTATCTCTATTATAAAATACTTACCTACAGACTATAGAAAATTTATAAATTATAGTTTGTCAATGCTCTTGTTATTGTAATAAAGTAAAATTCGGTTTTAATTTAATAGGCTAGAGTGCGTCATCGACTCGGTTTCGCTCTATGGGCCTCTGGCGAACTAGAAGAGGCAAAGGAACAACTACACGCAGCTCTAACTGTATTGGAGTCTGGAAATGAAAGGCACAGAGACCAAAAAGTTATCGCCTTATATACTTCTACTCAGCACGCTTTGCAGAGGGTGCTAGTTGGTGAGTAATATCTTAACAGTCTTACGTTGTAAGATTAATATATGAAATGTAAATAGATATTTTATTATTCTTAAAATTACAAAAAAAAAATCTAAACACACGCACTTTATTAAAACTATAATTTTACTGCTTGAAATAAAATGTGGCAATTGTTTTTATGAGAAAAAAATAGCTTTTCTATAAAATTTATTATTTTTAGAACTGGGCCGTCACCCAGAAGCCTTGGTAGTAGCTGAGCGCGGAAGATGTCGGTCGTTGGACGCCTTGGAAAAGCATTCCACAACGCATCAAACTAACACCGAATTACATCATTCTCAAAGGTAAATATCAACACTTTATTTTATTATATTAAATCATTTAAACCCAGAAAACGTTGTAGTCTTTTCATAGTTACGCAGGAATCATCTCCCTCAATATCGAATCTCCCGCGAAAATTTTCTTATATGGAAATCTGTTTAAAAGAACCAGAACAGTTCAGTATTCATACGTTTCAGGTCGGTTCAGTCATTTAAATTTATGCATTTATTAATACACAAATCACAGAATATCAATATACAAAAGAAAGAAAAAAACACTTTATTATACATAATAAAAAAGAATGTTTAATTACAAGGGAAGTGCTCTAGCCCCCACGTTTGAATTCCCTGTGTCGTGGGCAGGAAGAGACTATTCCATTTAACATAATAATTTTTACATAACACTTACATTTTATAATTAAACTATTGTTCAACAACAAGAATATATTCCGTTTCATCATAGGACAGGTTCAAAAGATGTTGTTTAAGATTTTTAGTGAATGTATAAAGTTTTGTATGAATTTAAAATTTAGATTTTATGAAAGTGGTCAAAGAAGGGCCGGCCCACTATGAAAAGTAATCTTATCTTATCTAATGGTAAGCTACAATACAAAATACAAAAAGTTGTCAAGAAAGAATAGTGATAAAGATAGATGATTAGCAGACAGCCGAAATTTTTAATTTCTATTTCCAGTGAAATCGTAATTTTAGATTTTTGTCTGATTTTCAAAAGAAAAATATAACAACCATTTTGAAAGCAATTATTTTACTTTAATTTGTCATCGTTACAGAAACGCATCAGAGGATTCCGCCAAAGAACACCCTGAGCCGTGGAATCCATCCTCAGTGGAACACATTCTGGAAGTTGTAAACAAACAAAAGGCGCCCATTTTGTACTACAGTCTGGCTGCCGGGCGACTTTATTCGTGGCTTCTACAACCACACAAAGGTAAGGGCTATAAAAAACTAATTAAAAAAAATGTAAGATCAACCTCCTATAAAAAACCCAAAACCTGTCACGTGATAATAATTTTTATCTATATCTGTTCCCTAATAAACCTTATTTATATTACATCTTAAAGAAAATTTCATTGCAATTTCATACTAAAATAACCTCATTACTGTTACTTCACAGGCATACTTAGGTTCCACCAAGTGTCACTAGTAGAGCAAGCAGAAGATGGTGACAACAGTCTTCCTGATATCAGTCCGGATGACCTACAGGCCAATACAAGTGAGTACCCTCATATTTGTGAAAAGTGTCAAAGTCAAACTGTGAAAATTTTACTACGGACTCTTAACCAAATAATTAATTTTACTTTGTCGACCAAATAAACGTGATGCAGCATATGGTGCATACTCGATCAGTCTGTGGTCTTAGAATCAATTTCTGGCGAAACAATATACCTTACTGTACCAACTCAAAGAAAACAGACATTATCTCCCCCATCTCATATACAATTTATTCTACAGATAGTGGCAAGTTAGAGCGTTGTATCTGCGAATGGTCCGCTTGGTTGAAGACTGCGGCCGAACGGAGAGACGATGAGTGGCCTGACGATAGACCCAACACAGGACTCGCTAGAATTGTAAGACAATTTTTTAACTATGAGAATAAACTCAAAATTTAAAGTAAGTTAAGTCTCTAAGGTCTCGATCCTTTGCAACGTAGTTTTCGCCATCTGAATATTTAAAAAAAAATAACTTATCAATTATATATCTGGACTAGGCTACTGTTTTAATTGTAATCTAATTCAATTTTAATAGTAGTTGTATAATGTTATTGTAGTATAAATTAATGAATATTATTTATAGAAACATATTTTTAACACTATCGGAATACATCACATCCTTATCAAATACCGTATTTTTACATTTTATACTTGGTTCCTCACTCTTGTATTTAAACACATCTTGTACTCTATCTTTTCGTATCAGCTCATTAATTTGCATAATTCAATTAATTAATCGTTTCTATAAGTAACTGTGTGTGATATAATAAAATAACTTCAGGTCAATCGTAATCATCTACTCAACTCATCGAACTACTCTTTGAGTTCCTTATTCAGTGTGGGATCCGTTGGCGGATCAGTGGCAGGATCTGTTGCAAGCCTTCAAGGATCTACCAGGTGAGATCTATGTTGTCCTATAAAAAATATTAATCAATTTAAAGATTGAATTATTAATATATTAAAAATATATAGGTAGAAAATGTTCCATGATTTTGTATATTTATATTTCATAAAAAGAATATTTCTTAGTGGAAACTAACTAAAAAAATTTAATGACATCACATAACCGGTTGAAAATTGAGAATTAAAAAACGAGAATAATTACTTAATGGAAGAAATACTCCATGTTTATGGTATCTAACAATACACATTTAATTTTCTATAGATCTAGTGTTCACGGTCCACGAAAGAAGCAGCCCTCTTGGCAGGGTCCTCCGTGCTTGAGTGCGTTGTACCAGATGCTTCTAGCGCCTTTCGAAGATCTGCTGCCTGCTTCCTGTAATAATAACCACGGTATTTTTTTATCATTAATTATTTTTTATTTCAGACTGCAATGGTTATATTTATTAATTATAAATTAGATAAAAATTGATCAAATAACTTCATATAAAAGTATTAAACAAATCTTAACACCCAAAAGACATTTATTTCTTTACAGAATAATTTTTTCATGTGTGTAAGCAATGTTGGATGACTATAATAATAATAATAATCTTTATTCATTTTCTCACAAAAACTACGTACATAAACAAGTGACAGTTATATATTATTATAAATAAAAAATTATCTTTCTTCCTTTTAGAGAAAATGCTAGTGACTATGAAAGCTAGATCTATTAATTATATAGAAGAAAGATTTGATTGTTTGTTTGCATTGAATACGCTCCGAATTTACTGGATCGAATCAACAATTTTTTTACCATTGGGAAACTACACTATCCCTGGGTGACATAGGCTATATTTTCCACAAAAATAGGGATCCTAACTAAAACTCTATTAATGTAACCCGAGGATTAAAAAATTGACCTAAATAAATAACGCGGCATCGCGTGCGCGAAAACTATTGACGATAGAACAAAATAATGTACTACAACTTTGCAGAACACATCATTATCTACAAAAAGTATCCGACAACACAAGTCTAGCTATTATAGTAATGTCACAATCACAAAAAAATATTCCATAACGACTTTTCAAGATCCTTATAACAAAATGTTTAAAACTTAATCGAAAATATATTCCTATTCAAAAGTATTTATTTCCAATACACAAATATACAGTATTCTTCTTAATCAACATAGTAATAATAATAATTAAAAAATAACTTATTACCATGTCCATTATAGCGTCCCACGGTCGTCGCGGCTGCGGCGGTCGCCGTGAGCTAATCGTGGCCGTCGAAGGGGCTTTATACGCATGTCCTTGGGGTGCGTTATGCGCCGGCGCAGATTCTGAGCCACTATGCGAAAGATACGCCCTACTTGCAACGCCCGCTTTGCGTCCACTCAAACATCAGAGACATTCGAGAAACAAGCCTCACCCTGAACATGGTAAGTGATCATTTGGACAACGTTATTATTATTGTTACAGAAAAACATTGTCTCTATTGTTCACAACTTTATTTTTAACATACAAATAAAATGCATACTAAGCAAAAGTTTTATGGAGTATGATTATCAAATATTTATTTCCAACACATAGATATACAGTATTTACAATTTTCTTAACTAACATAGTAATATTAATTTTTAATTAAAATTATAATGTTTATTGATTTTTAATTATTAATAATTTAATTATTTTTAATTATTAAATTAATAAACAGAAAATTAAAACAAGTTTCAAAAGTTTAGTCCCTTTGTCAGTGTAACGCTGTAGCATTTCCTTGCTGTATTGCGATACTTATTCGTTGAGCGAGGAAAGCACCGGCTCTGGGGTCACCGGTACTATCTACCAGGCGCTAACTTAAATCTTTATTTAGCGTCTTTGCACTGGAACCCCACGGCCCAAGAGCCTCTACTCCTCTACTCCAAAGGGAACAAAATAAAAGTGGTAGGAAAGACTTATATATTCGAGCTGTTTAATCATATCAATGTTATTTGTTCAAAAAGTTTACCCTAAACCGCGAATATATATTTCTTTATCATATGATCAATAAAAAATTCAACCCAGCAACTACAAGTCATTTTGAATTATCATTTTGAATGACTATCATTTTTAACTAGGACCTCTTCTTATAAAAAAATATAATTACTTTTGAATAAAATTTAAAGTGTGTGTAATTTGTAATTATGGATGAATGTTTCAATAAATGGATGAGGTTTAATTAATAATTATTATATCTCTTTTAGGTGGTAGCAATAACGAGTCTGGTATGCGATGCCTGGTAGTAGGGGGACCTCGAGTGGGCGGATCTCGTTGGGCATCTCATCCCGCGCTATTAAAAGAAGCCGAGCTCGTTGCTGATATGTTGAGGGTTACACCGCTCACTGATTATCAGGTGAGAATATAAACCACCATAAGATAAACCACTCCTTATATGGAAATTGTATTAGTTTTTACAACAAACTCCCAAGGGAAATTAGAGAATTATCACTAAATAAATTCAAAGCCCTCGTTAAACGTAAATTAATCAATAAAGCTGTTTATAAATTTGACGAATACTTAAATGATCCTATTCCTTGGGATTGATTTGCTCCAGTTCAAACAATTTGTATGACTCAAAGCTTAGTGATTATAAAGAGTGGCGGAAAGTTTCTTGCCAGTTCTTCTTACCCGCTCTATGGCCTGACTAGCGAACTGGTAGTAAATGTAAATTTACAATTAATTTAACTTCTTTTTGACGTTCATAAGTGTACTTGTTTACCTATATAATATATTTTGGGTTTGAGTTTGAATATTTGCGATTGTATATATATATATATATATATATATATATATATAATTAATAAAGAAAAAACTATGATCATATTTACTTAATAGACCAGTTGGTTCTGTGTCTAAAACGACACGTCGATAACACATCTGTATATTTTTAGCTAAATATCTTTATATATACATATATATAATTCTACTGTACGTGTGTATGACACTGAACTCCTCTTAAACGGCTAGACCGATTTGAATGAATTTTTTTGTTTGCGTTTGGGTGGCGCCCTAGATGGTTTAGATTCACAAATCAACCCGGCAGATTGCGCTGCAGTCGGTGTATAGGTTATTTATCTATACAGCAAATAAACAGCTGGTATATATATAAATCTTCTGTACATGTATTTGTGTGTCTCAAGGTCTACAACACTTTTTCTGGAGCTCAATGATATCACGTCGTTAAGGTAGCGATCGCAAGAAACGTTTTCTTTGGACGTTTTTCTATTTCAAATCGTTACATAATAGCTCTAATTTTGGGGTAATATATAATCTCAACCACTCACAAACAACGTGGTTTTCTATTGGTAAAAGATTTTTCAAAACTGTCCCTACAACCTCACCAACTTCACCTTTTTTATAATGTTAGTATAGATTTATGTATGTTTAAGAATAAAACACTATTTTGACCGGATGAAGTATGTATTATTATAAATTTAAATATTTAACATAATTTTAAATTTATCCGACGTTTCGCGTGCTTTACAGCGTGCGTGGTCATACTGAAAAAATGTATGTCAAAAAGTATCACAGCTGCAGAGATAAATTTAAAATTATGTTAAATAGTTGTAAATTTATAATAATACATAACTTCAATCCGGTCAAAATAGTGTTTTATTAAATGAATAAAAGTTATGTTAATCAAAGACAATTCTATATGTTTAAGAAGTTTTTTAATACCATTGTTTAAGAAATTTTATGTTCCGAATTATTTTAAAATATATTTTTTACAGGCATCAAAGGAAGCCGTGCTGAGTCAACTAACACAGGCGGAATGCATTCACTTTGCAACACACGTTTGCTGGAAAACGCCGGGAATCGTCCTAAGCCCCGGAGAAGTGGTAATTCTTTAACATTTATTATTACATGTATTTTTATCTTTGTCTATTTTGTTTTTTTTAAGACGGGGGGGGGGGGGGGGCCAAAAACCCCAAAAAAAAAAATTTTTATCTTTGTCTACATTATGTAAAAAAACAAATATTTTGTCGTTATCGCTATGTAAAGCTTTGGTGTATATTTTAAAAGTTGAATATCATCTCAATCATTAAGTTACACATATTAAATAAAGCCGTATATACATAATTACTTTGTATTTTTAGGTGGATTCGCAAGCTAAACGTTTGTTAAACTCAAGCAACGCTGCTGATACGTCAACAGAAAACGAAGAAGAGAGTAAGTTAAATTCAATATTTATTTCATTATTTACTGATTTCGATATTTTTTCCATAAAATAAATGTATCCTAATTAACGCAACTTATAATCAATTTAATATAAATAAAAATGAATCGCAAAAGTTGTAGACGACGACCATTTCGAATAGTTTTTTTTTATTCCTAAAACTCTCAGTAAGGATTTAATGGAGAAAATAAATTGAAACATTGAACGAAATAACCAGTTACATAAAAATACTACATATAAAGGCGAAGAGAAGCTAGTTTAATAATAATTGATGAATTATTCTAATAAATCTAACTGTCTCGTCTTCTTATTTGTATGAAATATAAGGGCAGCGATGTACTTTAATCATCTAATAAAACATAAAAAAACACCCTTAGCCTACAAAAAAGACAGTTTGCTAGTACAAAAGAAATTTTGTTGCATTTAATATATCGTATAAAATATAATTATGTCCTCATAGATGCAGAATTACCACAAACAAACGAAGAATTGCCACCAGCATCGGAGTTCATTTTGACGGCAGCAGAAATTATGAATTTGAAAATTACTGCCAGATTGGTGAGTTAAAATTTGAGATATATGTTCTATATAAAAGTTACTTTTCCAATTTAATTATGTTCTTCTTTAAGATAAAATAACATAATTTATATAATATATATGAATATATAATTTGGAATCCAAGCGAAGCCAGGGCGGTTAGCTAGTTAAAAAAAATAAGTTATAATGCTAACCATGATAATAATTCTTACCATTATAACAATTTTTAACTCAAAAACTAAACCAAATTTCTTTAGGTGGTAATATCCTGCGCCCCATCAACCTCAGTCCTTGAAGACTCTGAAGAGCCTGAAGCAGTATCGGTGGCTGGTGATGGAGTGTCCCGACTTTGCAGGGCACTGCTCGCAGCGGGAGCTCAAGCTATACTGGTCACGTTATGGCCCGCACCTCAAGATACAGCAACAAAGATTCTATACAGGGCCCTTTACTCTGCTTTGCTTCAGGGCAGTCGAGTTGCCAAGTTAGTTGCTCTCTGTACAACTGCCTTTTTTGTTTGTGATATTCAAAGACGGGACTTATATATATGTCAAAGACGTATTGGAATTTAACATACGGGAAAGTTCGCGCTAAGACTTGACCCTGAATCCTACCTTGAATTTTACTAAGTTATGAATAGTGGTTATTTATAATTATTATTTAAAAAATATACAGTATTTATAATATTATTAACCTAAAGAGCTGATGCTTTTCTCGCACAACGAATAAGTATCACAATTCAGCGAGGAAATGCTGCCAGCATTAAACTGCCTAAGGGACCTAACTTTTGAAAATTGTTTTAATTTTCTATTTATTAACATTATTATTATGTATTATATAGATTTATTATATCATATAAGTTCAATAATAAGTATCTTATTACCATAAGAATTTTTTTTTGTAATTCTCATTGTAGACCATTCGCCGTGAGCTCTATTAGAATGTATATTTATTATTTCATTTTCTAATAAATCGCATCTTTATCGTCGATTATTAAGGTCTATTTTACAATGCACAAAAATTTTAACTTGTTGGATCACAATCCAAATACATATTAATAGTAGTATTTAGGTCAGTAATATATCTAGTATAAGAATTCGTATTGAGACGTCGTCATCTAAATTGAAATATATTTCACAGAGCATTGGGTGACGCGATGCAAACAGTCCGACATACAAAGCATTTCGCCCACCCGGCGTATTGGTCCGGTTGTGCTCTACTCGGTGCTAATATTCGGCTCAGCAACAAGGTCGCTTTGATGGGACAAGCTTTATGTGAATTGATGGCTGCGCCGGAGAGGTGCAGGTAAAGATTTTTATTTATTTTATTATAGCACACTGGTTTTTAAAGGTATAATACTTTTTAGTCATTAACTATAAAATATATATTTTTACTAACCCTGTTTTTCAATACTATTCTATTGAAATATTTGAATTTTAAGTAACGTCTAGTCAAACCTTTTACATAAAGCAAAGATACAGATTAACTGGTGTATGAAACTCGCTTCTATGAAAACAAGTTTTACACAATTTATCCGATAAATGTGTTACAGGATGTGGCTGAGTGTACAGCTTTTTTTTGAACTGAACTTAAAATATTGATGGTAAAACTGTGGAATTTATTAGTGAACGAAAAAGAAAGAGAAATAACGATTTTCAAATATTGTATTATTAAATTGAATATTACAAAAGGTGTTCAAATTGGCCACCATGACCAACCCCAAGCAAAACCCGAGGGACTTTTACTAACCATGAAACATATTGTGCTGAACCGCCGTACTCTTGCGGCAGGTACCATACTATCCATTCATTACGCCACATCCTGTATGACTCTTCAAAATAAACTGCAACGCTTAAGAAAATTCATAATCTCTGACCTATTAATATTTTATCTAAATTCTTTTATTTGTCTTTCAGAGATGCGTTGCGTGTATGTTTGCATTTAGTTGAAAAGTCCCTTCAACGCATTGTACGAGGTCAGAAGAATGCGATGTACACCACACAGAAGAGTATTGAGAATAAAGCTGGCACCGCTACCGGGTGGCGGGAGCTGCTCATGAGCGTTGGATTTAGGTAAGTTTATTTACCTGTACTGTTTTATACATACGTTCGTCGTATTCGTGATCGAGCGCTACTTGTGGTGAATGGTCGGAGTTGAATTCGCAAATGCGGTTGAAATAATAATTAACCGTAATTCACCTGATCTTTGTGTTTGTACGTTGCTCTCACTGTAGTATAATTGCGACCTCCCTTATGCGTTTATTGAGGTCAAGCAGCGCTATTCTATAAATTATTAAAGTGGTCTCGACTTAGTTCTAACTTAGAAACAAAGTTTTAGTCTACAATATTTTATAGTTCTTTCAACGAACGTTGATAACAGCAGTTAAAATTGTAATTGCGTACAAAAACAGGACCTTGGCGTACAAATAATAATATAAATAAAGCCTAAATTGAGTTTTTATAATTATTTTTATATTAACTCAATTATATATTAATATAAGTAATTTGGAGAAAGAAAAACATTTATTTGATTTATTTATAAAAAAAAGATATACAATCACTTTAATTAAAAATGGGCCCAACTCAGCTTTAAGTTGCTGTCACCACTGATTTCATCAACACTGATTTTTGGTGGGTCCATATTCATGTAATTTCATATAGTTCACGTGTTTTCAAGCATACATTTAGTGTTAGACTTTAAATAACAAATTTATATATAGATTCGAGCCAGCAGCAAATGGCATACCATCGAGTGTGTTCTTCCCTCAAAGCGACCCAGAAGAGAGGCTCACACAATGCTCGGCTAGCTTACAAGCACTTCTAGGTGAGTGATAATTATTGAAAACTCCTATTGGTTTTTTTATAAAATAATAAACGTGATATATATAGGTACTATGTACTAATGTGTGAATGGGGCAGAGCAGTGTTGTCCATGTGACCATCAACGCTTAGGTCGTGTATTCGAACAATCAGGGCTGTCAATAAATTTAGATGTATTTCTATGTGTTTCACTCGCTTAAACGCTGCAGGGAAGGGTCGTGAACGGAAATCGGCATAGACCTTAAAAATCAGTTCATAGAAAGCTGATCATCTACTTGCCTATTTAAAAAAAAACAAACAGCTACAGAAATCTCAGTCCTAGGGGTGTAGCACCACTGGAGGAGATACAATCTGTATTATAAAAAAAGAAAATTTATAGTCGCCGACCTAATTAGTTTTGTCGCTTAATTAAATTTTTTCTCCAGGACTGTCATCAACAACTCTACAAGCATTGTCAAAGTTAATATCAAATGGCGATGTGGCAGATGATATAATCGGAGTTATCCGATCAGTTATATCACAATTCACAGTTAAAAACTCGGAAACTGATACAATAGAAGTTGCTGTTAATGTCAGGTATAGAAAGTCATTGTAACTTAATTCTAAAGATATTATTTCAAAGTTTTTAGTTTATACAGGGGCACTTACAATCTCACTGCTAATTTTTAAATATTTTAATATGGTGACCATAAAAATAATAATTAAACTTATTATTATTTTATTTAGTTAAATGTCAAATTAATAGTAGTTTATGCAACTGTTATATAATAGAGGGTATAAAAACATGTGTAACAAGTGTAGTTTGCCGCAGGCGAGTTTAAAAATAAGATTATACGAATGTTTTAATACCTAATTATATGCAGTTGCATACACTACTTTATTTAATCTGATGGCTATAGGTTTCCAAGTCATAAAGTCTTGGTAACATTCGTCGTACGCTTTTCTTGATTTTTTGGCAAAAGACTATTCTTCGAGTTAAATTTTCATCGGTATCGTCGGTGTTGCTTGACATTTTTGCTACTAAAATTTTATCCAACAAAATATTACTCAAATTCGAATGTACGAAGTAGCGCCAAAATGGAAAAAGTCTGATATTGGTCTATTGTTTCGGAACCAGCGCGTTGCGCGCGATCACCACAGAATATGTGTATGTACTTAAATTGAATTGAAACCTCCTTGGTCGGGACACATTGTACTTTAATAATTAAAAAATTGTTTTAAAGCATTGTTTTGTTAGGAGAATAATGCTTTAATTTAATTTTCTTAAAGAAGTATGTATATAAAATATGCCAATAAAGTCTGTATTTCATTTCATAATTAGAATATTACCGAATAAGATTATATAAAAAATATTGTTTCGTGAAACGAAATTGGCATGAAAAATACGAACGATCTGATTTTGATTAAAATATATTTACTCATACACAAGAATCGAATTTTATAATCATAACTCGATAATAAGAATTTCACCATCTAATATTTCCACTTACACTCATTTTAGATTATGGCGTGTGAACGGATGTCATGAACTGTTGGCGTCCCTTGGATTCGATTTGGCTGAAGTTGGTCAAGACGAAGTAATGTTACGCGGTAAAGCTACGAATAGGAGACATATACAATTCGTACTCCAGGCCTTGCTTGCTCTATTTGGTACGTTATTTCTAATTTTGAACTATTATTACTACGTATTGTAATTAACGTGTAAATAACGTGAACGAGTTTCCTACTCTAATGAGAGAGATTTTTCTTTGCGAGTGCGTCGTTTTCGGATTCGAGCGAATCTTTAGTTAAACCACAAAGATTTTTATGTAAAAACCGTTAATGAGCTAAAAATAACTTTTTTTTTAAATTGTTACTACTATAACCTTTTTGTTTTATTTATACAACATGTTATGTTTTTTTTGTCTAATAATTAATATTTTTAAATAGATACGCAAGAAGCGCCTAGAAGTTTGAGCTTAGAATCAAGTTCGAGCGTGGAATCACTTGCATCTATCGATGATGGAGATTTGGAACCTCATTCAGACGGAGAAACTCCTCCCGCCACACACAGAAGTAAGTTATTTTCTAGTTTCATTAAAGAATATTGTAGTCTGTGTGAAAGGGGACCATTGTGGGATTTGAGGTCGACACTATAACAAATATTTTGTCACGTTTTCAGTTCTCATATTATACTATAAATTCTAAGTAAATATTATCCAAGGGGCCAAGAAAAAATACACACAAATGTGTTTTCATTATATATTTATACTTAATTATAAATATGTATAAATACAAAACGATTACATTATTATTATATCAAACTACTAACGATGTGTTAGTTCATCTCAACTCATTACAAAAAACATATTTTATCTTACAGAAGAAAATGTAACAACGGTTCCTCCGCCACCGCTACCTCTTGGCTCTTGCGGCGGGGCGTTCACAATGTACGTGCGAAACACAGGCGAAGTGGGCCGTGGAGAACCAGATGGTCGTAATGCCCCTCCACCCGCAGCTGCCCCTCCTCGCTACAGGGGTGAAAGCGACGCAGCATTTACCCCTTCGCCCCCCACTACTGCCCCCCAACGAGACGTATCACTCGCCCTCGCACATCAAACCAAAATTCGCACCCTTTACACCAGACGACCCCCGTCAGACGACTCAGATTGGGAATCCTCAGGACACGACACGGTACTACGTCGGCGACCTGACCCCCACCAGCGATACCTCGACGCCTTCTACGAACTCGCCTCAGCCCAACCGAGGCGCACCGAAGAAGATAAAGAACCCCAACCTTCCACCTCCAAACGGGCACCTCGACCCAAAATGGGCACAAGCCGCGACTCCATGGCCCAAGTTAGACATATGAGCGGCGAATTAACCCCGACTATATCGGAAGTCTACCACGAAAGGAATATCGGATTGGGCCTCGCTCCACCGTTAGCGGAGTTATTGCTAGCTGAAGATTCAAAAACAGAAATGCGAGCCGCAAGTTCCAGCGAAAACCTATTGCTCCAGAACTTAGAAAAGTTGGGTCTTCTGGGTGACGTCAGTGAAAATGAAGAACGTTGGTGCACCACAAATGCATCTCGACCCTGGCTTACAGCGGCGCCTCTTGAAACAGATGTTCAATCCTCAGACTTAACTACGGCTGAGATAATAGAACGCCAGAGCAAGTTTAAAAAAGATGAACCTATGAGAAAAGAAGAGAATGCGTACGACTTAAAACCTAAGGAAGAAGCGGCCGGACCGAGTTGTATAGAAAAACGTTCAGTTTCGCCTTTTTCAGAGTTGTCTAGAAGAGATGAGGGTGACGGTAGGAGTATAGCGGATTCACATTCTTCTTACAAGGCGTTAGTCTTGAACCCCCGAACTCCTTATTTGCCAGAGGAAGGGGAAGCAAAACCCACAGAGGGGGGTAAGACACACCCCCGAGTTAGACGGCCTCTAGTCCCTAGAACGCGACCAACATACACAACTCTAGATTTTCCACCTAACAAATGAGTACTGGTTTTGAACATCGATTTAGGTAATTGACTAACTCCAAATTTTAATTTTGATAACTTTTTTTTTATAGAACAGGGGAAAAACGGGCAGGAGGCTTGTCTGATAGTTAGTGACACCGCCGCCCATGGACACTAATAAGAGGGCTCGCAAGTGCGTTTCCGGCCTTTTAAGAATTGGTACGCTCTTTTCTTGAAGGACCCTAATAATAACTGGTCAATTTAGAAATAGACAAAAACAGTTATTATATTATCTGTTTAACTTCGTTCCCAATTGTAAATACAGAATTGATATCAAAAGATTAACTTGATTTTTAAGATTATAAATCTAGACAGAAAGCTAATATTTTGGAATTTTTTCGAATTTTCCTTGGGGTAAAGCTAGCTTACTAGCTTTCGTAGTATTAAAAAAGAGAATGGGATTCATTAAAATATTATAATTATTATTTTGATACTGTAGTTGTATGTAATATAAAGGACATAAATTTATTTGTATTATTATAGATGTAATGTATTTCGAATATACTCATGGCTATGAACGTCCGTCCTTATTTATATTAGAATATTTGTATAATATTGTTAAGCTGTAATTAATAACATCGCTATTTATTTCTTGTATTTACAATTTCTTGCCATTGTAATTAATGCTCAGCGTGTATTATAATAAAATATTACATTAACACCGTCTTTTATTGAACATTCTTAGCAATGTAATGAAGTTGAATGTTTCTTAAGTAAAAGTTAATTGTAATATTATTTTCGGTTTACCAAAGAACTATAAAAACTTCCCACGGCGGCTTATAGCAGTCGTAGTTATTGAGAGTCAACAACCGTTCAAAGGGGTAGTTAAGTAAGTAAGTAATAAATTTGTAAGGAATTATTTTTCAGTTGCTACGTACGTCTCGAACACGTCGTCGCTTAAACGTCCTTAGTGACAAGCATGTCAATGGCGCAGATCCTGACTGCCCGTGGCCAGCTTTTGAACACTATTTACACAGATTCAAACTAAAAAAACGGTGACAAAAGCGTCTAAACGGTGGTCCATCTCTTGACTGTCCTAATTTCGAAAGGGCCAGGTGAAATCTGAAGCTCGAGACTGGCATGAAGGTATCCCGGGATGGGCTATCCGACATGTTGCTCGAGCACAGATCGCAGCTGGAAAAATTCTATGATAGAATTGACAAATATGTCAGTAACATGAATAGCACAAGAGGAGACGCCCGGCGAGAGACGCCAAGCCCAAAAACATCATAAGTACACAATAAACTTCAAAGTATCAAACCGAAAAACTAAAAATACCTTAATACAAATTGATGTATACAATGCAAAATCTAACCTTATTCATCCTAAAATTGATATTTAAAATCGAGAATGATTTATTTTTATTTTATCGGTCATATTAAACTTGTTCAAAAGGAATAAAGTTATGAGAATATACAATTGATCATTTTATTTTTAGGCTATATAGAGCTCACTCGTACACGTCGTAGATTAACTGTGGTACCTACCACAGACGACGTGTGCCAGTTTCGTGAAAATGTTTTCTTTAAGTAAGCATTCATTGCACATATGATAAACCATTGCACAGCTATGATACCAACAACGTTTGAGAATCGCTCACATAAACACAACTCTGTATTATGCGTATGATTGTCGCAAACAATATAATAATTATTACATAAACTTATTTGATTAGTAAACGACATACGGAATGACACACCACACACTATTTAAACTAATTGATTATTAATCAAAGAGAGTGACACTTATATTACATTAAACAATACTCAAAACTTCTACAAAAATCCTATACACAGATATATATTTTTAGGACGTCGTTTTGTTATCGCGTTTTATACATGCATAAAGATAATTAGATTTGTTTGCCAAGCAGTTATATTTTTTCAGACCCCAATAACATAGGGAGTTTTACAATATTAGAGTGAAAAATTTATAAATACTGTATTGTTACTTCAACCTGCGCTAGAATGCATGCAAATCTAATGACCATTTATGAAATTAACATTGTTTCAACACTCTATAGTTAGGAGAAACGGTTAACCGTGAAAACATTGGTAAGTAATAACCGGAACATAAAAAAAACGCATTCTGCCTGCAATGAATGAAATTTAATAAATTCTATTACATCAGTGACCATGGCTTGATTATTTCAACAGATTTCTATGGTTATTGATAGACGAGTCTAACAACTACTATAGAAACGTTAAGTTCTTAAATTATTTACGTGGAAGCTATATTTATAGTATTACTAGCTGACCCGGCAAACGTTGTTTTGCCATATATATATAGTTCAATAAAAAATAGGAGTTGAATGTAGAGGGGTGCAAATTAAGGGTTGTATGTATTTTTTAAGGGCACATTATAAAAAAATCAAAATTCGTCCAAAAACACGCTTTCTGTGCCTTCCGAAACTTTATTTCGCGGGGAATCAAATTTCCGCTTTAAACTTTTATTGAAAGCGACATCATGGGTGAGTCCCGTAGTAAATTACTTTTCATAGTGTGTCGTCGCGAATCGTGACGCGTGCGCATGCTGCGTGTTGACTTCTTGTTGTATCATGTCAACTTTACACTTGATTAATATCTATAAAGCTTGACTCTCAACGATCAAGATTGCTATTTAATATATTCTTCAAACATGTCAAAGAAAAAATATTGATCACGAAGTCTCACTCAAGAATGATTAATGAATTATTAAAAAATAATTATATGTATTTTCAAGAACATACAAAAAAGTCTAAGCAAAAACGCGTCTCACACGGGAAAATGTGTTGTATATTGGTGTTTTCCATAATTCCTTAGTAAAAAATCGTATTACATCGTAATCGTATGTCTAAATCTTGCCTCACATTATAACGGATGACCAAAGTTAATCGCGTTTGGGTAGAAAGAGAATCAAAAACATTAGACAATGAACGCTGAAAGAGATGGTGCACCATAAGGCAATTGCAGACCATGAAGTTCAACCTCCAGTAGTAGAGTAGCATCTGTAGATGTTTAACATCTTTCGCTGACGACTGCAGATAAACTTTATGGTAGTTTTTATACTACTCTCATAAAACTAATAATACTTCATAAATTAACACTTTTTTCTGGTTAGGTAGCGATCTCTATGTCGATTCGGTTCTATTGAAGTGAAACTTCTAATGCGACTTTCCAACAAGGTTGCGTTAAACGTTTAACGCTACCAAAGAGGGGGTATGAAAGCACTGTTGCGTTAAACGTTCAACGCTCCTGGGGAGGGGGAATAGAAAGAGACAGAGCGAGAGTGAATGCGTCATTTCGTATCTAAATTTAGTTAACATAATCCCATTGTAAATGATATAGATTTGGATATTTACTCCACTCGAAAATGATATTTAAAAGATGCGATTGTAAATGTAAATAAATTGTAAGCAATGATAGTAAAGTTTGTCTTAAAGAAACTATATGATTTCATTAAAAATCAATTTCTACCCCTTCCTATTTTCATTTTTTTTGCAAATTACAAGTTAAATATTGTTTAATTCCGTAGTCACTATAACAACACGTTTAGGTTGCTATGGGGCTTGCCGAGGTTCTGAAGTATCTATGTATGTTTGTCGAGACGATGGTTTTAGTGCATTTGGTTTAGGGTGGCATGCTTGATGCATCATGTTAAGCATAGCATCATTGGTATCGTGAATGTGTTGATTACAAAGAACACTAATAAACTAAAACTACATGTGGATATACTCGTAACCTGAAATTGAAAAAGCATTCTTACAACCAACAACTTGGCAACTACAGTCTGTCTTAAAATCTTTTATCCGAAAAACATTAAACGCTTTTGTAATTTTACTTTTCTCCAACTATATGGTTATATCTAATTATCTCTATATACTGTGGTATATCTAACCACAGTATACAAGAGAATTATTAAAGTAAAAGAAAAAATATCGAAGCAACATTAGAGCAAAACGAATACAGCCAAAAATAACACTTCTAACATAGCGTGTTTCATTAAAAATATATATGCTGTGTTGCGTAAGCGCAAGTATGATATTATTGAGTAGCGCATTAACGGTAATAACAGTGGCATTAAGATTGATTCAATTATATATAAGTGTAGCTTCTTTGAAGATCTAAATTAATAATTAGAGTAGATTCATGTCAATGTCAAACTATATATTATCTCAAATTTAATAACTAATTAAACTAAATACTATAGTTTTTATAGTATATATCAATTAATAGTACATAAATTAAGAAATAGAAATAGCATAAAATTATTCGAAATACCTCCCTTATTTTTAATACAGGCCCTTAACCCCGCCAGTCGTCTATCCAACACATTTCATTGATTTCAGTGACTCTTTTTTAAAGATGACTTCAGAACTCCAAATTTTTATGGGGTTTATCACAGACCTTCCTCTCTAAACCTCCAAATTTTATAGTCCAAAGGATTAAGGTCTGATGAGGAAGGCCAATCCTCATGTCTAATTAAGTCGATGTTTTGACGCTCAAACCAGGTTTGAGTGGTCTTGGCTTGTGTGCAGCAGAGTCCTGTTGAACACAAATATTCCGAAAATACTGCTGGGCAGGTCTTTGACAAGTGGTCAAACCTTTTGATAACTTTTACTTTTTGACCCCCTTTTCCAAAAATTAACCTCATTGGCCCTAAAGGACACTCCCAACAGACCATTACTATGATGGATGATGTCAGTTACTCGAACTTTATTTCCAGCTTCTTCAAACTCCTACTACACTCTATCTTCTGTTTATTGTACTTCTCTTCAATATCGAAAAATTTTTCGTCCGTAAAGAGGATATCACGGTGTCGGTTTTTCGCTACCCTTAACAAACCCCCATCTCAATTTTGCTTTTAGACGAGCATTAAGTAGGTCCCACTCTTTCTTTTGTATGCCCGTAGACCAAGATCTTCATTTAAAACCTTTTTACTGTTTTCCTACTGACACCCATCTGCAAAGCCATCAACTTCTGTTTTCTGACAGGATTTCTT